CATACTAATGACAAAAATCTTTGCTGGCTACAAAAGGTCAGGGTAAAGGTTTGACATACACACTGCTTAGATGAACTGTTTACAAAAAAAAAGATGGACATGACAATTAGACAGTCTTCAGTATTAGGAGAAACTATAGACTGTGAGGATTGCTCTCTTCTTAGGCATTGCTTTGTGAATGCAAACCAATGCACCACTGTATGTCTATATTACCAGCGTCTGTCTCAATACATGCAAGTAGATCATATATGTCTTAGATATTAACCTATTAACCTTTTGGATCGTACTGTAGCTGACACAAGATTATTTTTCCAAAAAAAACAAAAAAAAAAAAAAAAAAAAACATAAAAAAAACTCTTCATTATAAAAGTGCTAAAATTATTTATTATTCAAAAAATATTAGTACATTTAATTTGGGGAAGAAGTGTACATTGACTTTGAGCACAAGAACAAAAAGAACTTCCCCTGGTTTATGAGCCTCACATTACCAAATAACCTTGACAGCTGAATCAGTGTTCCATGACAACAAGCAAGCCATTGATAAATAGCAACAAAACTATTAGACGTTGAATTTATGAGATGAGTAATAGAGAAGCTAAATTATAGGTTTACCATTTGAAAAACTGCAGTATGACAAATCTGTTCTAACGTGTGTGTGTGTATGTGTGAATGCACAGAAGGAAGAGAGAGAAATGGAAACTTTTAAAGACAGATATAACATAAACATGCCATGGATATTAGAAATGCACAAATATATTATTTTATGTGAACTAGTGAAATTCAGTGTCCATTATGAAGTAATAAACAAATCATGTGTAAGTAATTGAAAAAGCTACCACTTGTGAAGTTGTCTTCCTGGTTTTATTCTCATTTTTATTTTTAAGCATTGTGATGTAGGAAAAGGGAAATTGTGGTAAGTAGTAGATCTTTAAACTGCCTATTGCAAACTAGTAGATTCCATTTAAAACTGAAGCATGAAGAGTCACCACCAAAAGCAAGAGTATGTTCTTCTGGAGTTCAAAAACCTCTTCTTGGTCTGTGGAAAGTAATTTGCACTTCCTAGGAAAGAAAAAACAATTATTTTTTTATCCTCCTGTAATCAGAATGAATGGTATCAGAAATCATTTTAAGTAAGGTTGAATCTTGCATCTGAAATAGTTTTGCTAGCAGGGCAGGGATGTAATTGTCCCTCTGTACTCAACACTGGTGAGGCCATAACTCCAGTACCATGTTTCATTTTGGGCCCCTCACTGCAGGAAAGAATGTGGCGCCCTGAAGTGTGTCCAGAGAAGAGCAACTAAGGTGGTAAGGGGTCAGGAGCACAAGTCTTACGAGGCATGATTGAGGGAACTGAGATTGTTCAGTATAGAGAAGAGGAGGCTCAAGGGAGACCTTATCACTCTCTATAGCTATTTGAAGGGAAGTTGTAGTGAGCTGGGGGTCAGCCTCTTCTCTAGTGTAACTAGTGATAGGATTAGAGGAAATGGCCTCAAGCTGCACCTGGGTGGATTCAGGCTGGATGTTAGGAAATACTATTTTTCTGAAAGAGGGGCACTGGGATGGGCTGCCCAGGGAGGTGGTGGAGTCATCAACCATGGAGGTGCTGGGGGACATGGGGTAGTGAGAAATATTGGTGATATGTGGATGGTTGGACTGGGTGATCACATATGTCTTTTGCAACCTTGATTCTATGATTCTGTCTTATGTAGTCACTTATTTTAATTTATTAATATCTTTATTTTATTATTTATTATTTTAATTTATAGGAACTATAGAGGAAATCTGAGTGAGTGGCTGTTCATGTACAGAGACAGATATGATAAGAACAAGATAACAGGAAACTTGGTGATATGACTGATTGTTTTCCAGGCAGACCTGTAGTGGGATTCTTGTGCTCATTTTTCAAAGCAGGACTACATTGGCAGGTGGCAGCAGCACTCTAGGGCTCATCTTGTCTGTTATCTGCAAGTGTTTGAGTTTGGCTGTTTTTCATTGTGAAACACCAATAGATTGACAGCTGACATTAAGTTCCTAGAAAAGTACTGTAGTAGTGAGGAAGAATACAGCAATCACCTTACATTCTGATTATGTTTTTCCTTACCTTGACTGGAAGATGCGCAACAGTCAGACAAGTTACAGGATTAATGCTGAGGAGTTATATGAAGTTCTGTGACCTGTGTTAAAGAGGATAGTATACTAGATGAACTGATTTGATCTTCTGTTCTAAAAATCTATTAATTATACTTCTGTAAGAAACAGCTGCAGCTTTGTCAAAGGGGAATTAAACACTGAAAATGCATATTGTCCCAAATACTGTTACAGTAGCTACTGGAGATAAATTTGAAGCTTGACAAATAAATGAAGGAGATTCAAAGGCAAACTTAGCAAAGGTTTTGGTTAATAAAGCAATTGAGTGTGAAGGGTATTCAAACATTTGTCATTTATTCATTTTGCCTGAACCAGCATGAATGGTACTGTCATTCACAAATATTCATTAAGAAACATTTGATTGTACTTTTTTAGAAACTAATTACGCATGTTCATCTGTACTGCATCCATGTCTGATGTCTGTTATACAGCCACCTTTTCTAAAGGGTCACTTAAACTCTGTTGTGATTCTGACTTTTAACGTGGTATTCATGTTATCCTCTAGTCTTAAAAAGAGAAATAACCGAGAAGTCTTAGTATATTCAACCTCAGATAGTAGTTACTGGATAGTAAATGTCCAGTAATGCTAATGCCCATGGCATTTTAGCTTTCAGAAGATCATGAATATCTGCTGTGTTTGAGGTGCATATGGTAGAATTGTAACATTCCCTCAAACTGCAGATCATCGTATTTCCACGTCCTTCATGTTTGCAATGATGAGTTGCCAAAAAGGTGCTTAGCCAAAAATGGGTATTTTTTAAACAAAATGCTGAAGTTAGTCATATGCTTTCATCCAAAACAATCAGAACCTGAGCCAATTTAGTGCACATAAGATACCTTGGAAGGATTAATTTATGCTGTAGAGCTTGTATTATGTTTAACCAATAGGAGTTCTCTGCACACATGGATTTAAAAAAAAAATTTTTTTTTTTTTTTTTTTTTTTGCAAATCTTGCAGCTAAGTCAGTGAGCCAAATGCAAAATCTAGCACCTAAGAGCATCTTGTAGATTTGTAATGCACCCTGGGGGTGCCTAGGGTTGAGAAATCACTGAGTGGATTACACAGATTCATATAGTTATTTTTGTCAATGCTGAAAGACATAATATGAATACTATTATTCATACAGCATAAATTTCTCAGAATACTATGTATAAGAGAACAATAAAACTGCACAAAATCGAAAAAAGTTATTTTTAAAGGGCGATTTGAAGGTTTGAGCCTCTTTAGTGAGGTACTGCAAATATAACACCTATGCACAACACAGATCAGATTTACAGTGGACAAAGCTTTATTAAATTTCTCTAGAAGCAAATTAATGGCAGGTCTTGAAGGAGATGAAAGAAATATATCAAATCTGCTAATAATCTTTCTCATTAAAAGTCAGTCATTTCTTCTCAGTCAGTCATGCAGAAGTAAAGTATTTAGACAAGGCTTTTTCCAGGGGGTGGTTTGCACAATTTATGCCAAATAACTAGTTCTTACTGGGATGAATAGCCCTCTGTTGGAACCTCTTTCCAGAGTCTTTACAAAGACCTGAGAAGATCCTAAACCAGGCACTTCTGGCATAAGTTAATGAAATGAAACCAGTGCTCAGAACTAGTACTGAAAGACCGATACTGAAAAATATTCTGAATATGCACTGTCTTTCAAGTGTGTTCTGTTGTTGAATTGCATGTGATGACTAAAATTGAATTCAAGATATGTGGTTAGTTTTTCAGCTTATGTGTGTATGTGGAAAGATCTGGCTCAAAAAGAAGGAATGAAAAACATCACTGTATGTAATGTGTGTTATATTTTCTAGTCATACACAATACATTTTTGGGTCAAAATCTCCTTTTTTCCCCAACGTGGCTTTATAATAAACAGATTTGCCATGTTTCTACCTATAGAGATGACAAGGAAGTTTGTTCTAAATGATGCTCAATGCAGCAACAAATACACCTAAGAAGACACAGTCTACAGACTTGGATATAACAAGAAATTGTCATGTTGGCGCACTCCAAGACACTGCTGCAATTCTTTTAATACAGGAAGATATGGAGAACTGTATTTAAGAAGGAAGCATTGCCCAGTCTCAATGGGGTCTGATGACTGCATCTGATATACAAATCCAAAAACAAAATTAGACATTAAATTATAAAATTTATTATACTTCTCCACCCAAATTCTGTTTGAACATTTTAATTAATATCAAAGATAATAATAAAATTGATCATTGAGTCACAAAATAACATGCTTATCTTAAACTTGAATGTCAACCAGTTATCAAAAAATGAATAAGACCTCTGTGGTCAACACTGGTATGAACAAAGAGGGACTGCTGACTGTAGGTTTTGTAATTTAAGGATGGTGGGGAACGATACAAAGTACACAAGTAAATGTACTACTAGCATAAAGACAGTGGGGCTAAAGCATATTGTAATATCACTGGTGGTATATTTTTCCCCATTAGTTGTTTTCTCTGGATTATCTGCCCAGCCTGCATCTTTGTTCATCCTTTCCTGGGTGTATTTATTCTACAGCAGAGCTTGGATTAACATATGATTACTTAAGATCAAGCATGTTGAATTATCGGTCTTTTAGTTTTGTCTTCCTCTTCATCCCTCTTCCCCCAAAGAGATTTTGGCAGCACTCAAAAAAAGAAATAGTAAATTTTGTCAGGATCCTGAAAACTTGGAGAACAGAAGCTAAAATTAAATTTCTGCTAAACACAACTTGTTGCTGTTGCAGGTGAATTGATATTGTGTCAGTCCTCTCCCGTATACATGAAATGACGATTGTAGTTTTTTAACCAGTTTATCCCTCACTTCTCTCACTTTTTTTCCCTGTCACTACCCATTAATCATTGCAGTGCCTACAAATGCTCCATGGCTAAGAGAAAAGCTGAAGAACAGATTTCAGGTGTTCCTGTCAACAAAAGGAAGTCTCTGCTAATGAAGCCTCGCCACTACAGTCCCAGCCTGGAATGCAAAGAGGAAAATGAAGACAGGACAGATTTACAGGAGAATATTGCTGTCCTCGATAGCAATTCAATTCCAGGTAATCATGTAATAAGGCTCCACTCAAACCTGAATTCCACAGAAGGGGAGCTATGAAACACTGTTTTCAAAAAGGATGCAGAACGCTTTTGGCTTGTAATGGAGTTGGAATAGTGCATTTTTATCTAGCTTTAACCATTCAATTATTTTGTACAAACTCCTCCTGGGGTCTAGTAAATGCTTTGCAGGTCACACAGAGAGACAACTACTACAGCAGGTCAGGTATGGAGCAGCATCTGCTTCTCCACTAGGTCTGTCAAAGAACAAGGTTAAGCCCACCACAGATAAAAACACATTTATGAAGAGCAGATTTTCATTGGAATATATAGAGCTCTTAGGGAAAAAAAATGCTTAGCAAAATGTTGTTGACTTTAGCATTTAGCAAAGCAATTTCATGCGTGTGACGGCTACGTGTGTTCTGATTAACACAATTATTAGAGTCAGCACTTTTATACTTGTTATTTAAACTCTTCTAAGTCAGACATGTCTGACAATTTATTGAAACTTCTACAATGTGCTGCAAAATATAGAAGAGCGTGGGGATACAGAAATATATTGCTATAGTTTTTTTGTTTCTTTCTAGTATATTTATATATATTCAAGATGAACAATTAACATCAATCTAAATTGACTGTTGCATATATGTTTAAATAATACTGCACAAGTTGATAATCAGGGAAGTGAGAAATCAGTGGAGTATATGCTGCATTGTTTTAAAGGGAAGAGTCATCATTAGATGGCAACCATCAAGATAAAAAGAAAGGGATCTGGCACTGGGAAATTAGTAATCACAGCTACTATGAAAACAGAATACAGAATGAACTTGTATCCTGCTTGGTTGTTTGTTACTACAGATGTTTAAAGGTAATTTACTTTCCTCTCCCATTACAAGGTTTCCTGTACAAACTTTTAAAATATTTTGGAAGGAAGCAGAGAAATGAGATTAAGAATTTAGATCTTTATTCACTCTAAATAGGATTTTCGAAGAAGTAAATAACTCTTCCACATATTCTACATATGACAGCTACATACACATACAAACAGAAGACAACTGACAGATTAATCAAATCCTTGTTCTGCTTAAATCAGTGCAGAACTCTGTCTTGTTTCTGAACTCACTGAAGGGAAAATATTTTGATGATTAAATAGGTAGAATGTGCATATTCACGTGAACATAACTTATTTAACTTTTTTTTTTTTTCAAAAAAAGGGCCAGTGTTGAGCCAGACCATTGACATAAATTAGTACCCATTTCAAAAAGGGTAACTTGATTCTTATTACACTTCTTGCAATTGTTTTTGGCATTGATAATGCAATCTATATCTTTTGAATTAACCTTATTAGTTAAAGTGTCTATGAAAAAACTTCAGCTAGAACATAAGACTGATTGGATATTTACTTTTAATTTCTTAGAGTAATATTGGTGATTTTATTGTGAACTTTTCACTCTTGTTGCTTCACCTGTTAATGCTTCAGTTCATGCACTGAGGCCACTGCAAACTAAGCTGAGTTCTGATTATTTTAAAATGAAATCCAGTCTATAGAGTGAAAAGCAAAGCTGAGACATCTGAATCATTAAAACCAGTTAAACACATTTTTTAACATTGCATTTGTAAAATTCCTCATTTCAGTATCAATCATGATGGTTTAAGAAGCCATCACCGAAGTTGTGATGCCTTGTATGGCTTTACATCTTTAATCTAGAACAATAATAATTGAAAATATCTACTGCTATTATCAAACCTTCTTATTTTTATTTTTATTTCTGAATAGTGGGTAGAACTAACTTCTTACTTCTATAAATGACATTTTGATGTTAATGTTTCATTTTCCAAATGGCAGAAGAGCAAATAATAAAATGCATTTGCCTAAAGTTTGTAGCAGAGCCAAATGATCATTCTTACTTGCTGAGATGTGAAGACAACAGACTTCTTTATTCAGAATACTGCAATGTGTGGGGTACCGGAACAGCTGCTAAAAAGTTATGCTAAGGATTACAGACATTTTTTTAAAACACAACTTCACACACACAGTGCACAAGGCCACCTCTCCCTGCATGAGCCCAATTTTCTGAAGAATAATAAGAATTAATCAATATTTTCTTTTAACATATAACAAACAGTTGAACCAAACAATTATGTAAACTGGAAATGACCCAAAATGCTAACAGTTTGGCAGCAGTAAAGTGAAATGCATTGTGGTGCACATGTGCATTTTTGTCCCCCTTTTCCCCTCCACAATAATCTGCACTTAATAGGAATATTTTAAACTATGTAGCTAAGCAACAGAGGTAATTGTTGCTTTCTAGAGCTTTTGTTAGGCACTCTAACACAGCCCAAATATGCATAATTAGGTATAATGTCTATAAATCATTATTGTACACATGTGGGTAGTTAAGTGGATTGAGAGAATAGTTCAATGAATTGGACATATTCACTGAAAATGCTTTTTATTTGTTTTCTGTAGTTCATAATACTTTAAAATTATCATAACCCTTTACACTTTCTCTTAATAGCTCACTGTGTTATGGAGAGAAACTTCATTTGCATTTTAGACTATACCTAATTTATTATTTAAACCTGGAGTTCTTCTGATTCAGGAGAGAGCAGACACATCTTGGGAAATAGTCTGTGCTTGTTTATTCATCTTCCTTTCTAGGAAGTAAAATGTTAAATTTTTCAGTTTATGTTGAATAGATCCCAACAAAAGAATGTACCCTATAATCAGCATTATTGAAGGGGCTAGTGTTGTGACTAAATTCTTCCCTTCATCCAAAAATGCTTTTAGTTACTATGGCAATATTTACTTGATCCTGGCAAACCAGTGTTGATTTTAGAGAGATAATTACCAGAAAGGAAGATGATGGAGATGTATTTTTGAGTGTCCTTGTCAGAGGAAATGTTTATAAAAAAATTAAATGAGATACAAAAGGCATATTGTCTTCCACACCGTCCACCTCTCCTACATGCAGCCTCTGTTACCATCTGCCTGCTGCTTTTCTTCTGAAGAAAGATGTTTATAAAGACAGGATGCACTTCAGTGGTGTCTTTAACAAGCCCTTTATGAGTCTGTACATAACAACCATTTCTGTTTGCCTGCATGACCTGATCTATCACTTAATGTGGCAATTGTAATGGTGACCAGGAGCTTGCCCTTGGTGAAGTGCGGATGTTTTTTTCCTTCAAGGTCTTTCATGGTGCTCAAAAAGTAATTAGGGTCTATTTTGAGAAAATATTTAGGAATCTTAGATGAAAGGAAAATGAAAATGGTTTTTAGAAGAATTTTTAAATGTGTGTGTATATGTTTCTGTGTATATGATATAGATTCTGCTTATATAGTATTTATGTGCATATCTGTAGTGCATTATACTTGTGCAAATATATGTGAAGATGTATGTTGTAAGACAGTATATTTCTTTACCAACAGCAAAAAAACAGCAATAATGAAACAATAATATAAGGCAGGTACAATTTTAGAAGGGCTTGTCCTGGTGCTACAAGTAGTCATTTCAAATACAGCACTGGTGAATTAAATAATTTAAGGGTACTTTTCAGTAAAGTAATGAAAGTTTTTAATATCTTCATATCTCTTCTAAATGGTATAAAAAGCTTTTCTTACACGTTTTTCTCTTGCCATTTTCTTATGCAGAGGAAAAGATTGCAAAACCATGTGAGGAAACCCTTCATTCAGGTGGGCAAGAAAATTCCAGTCAAAGAAAAGATAACTACACCAGTTACCAAGATGCCATGGCCAAATCTTTGATGAACAGTGGAAAAATTGCAAAAGATGCACCCAGTCAAGCAGTGGCAGAAAATCTAAATGACAGTGGCATTCAATCCTTAAAAACAGAAAGTGATGACACTGATGAATGTTACATGATTGACTCAGCTGAAAGAAAGGAAAAGACTGTTATTTCTGACCCAAAATATTGTTCATCTGAGGAAAACGAAAGCAACTCTGAAATGATGGAAAACGAGTGGGACAGCTCCTCAAATTTTTCAGAAGAAACTAGTGAAAAGCCCCATGTAACTCAGAAATATATTGCAGAGTGTAATCAACCTAGCATCTTGGAAGTCCCTGAAATTAAGAAGGAGGAGGTAGAATTTGAGCCTTGTGAAACACTTTGTGATTCAGAAGCAGAGCTAAGAGCACCCCAGGAGTCTCACCCAGATTCTTTTGAGAAGAGAATGCAGAATGTGTTCCCTGAAAGTGAAGAAGATGACAACGAGTGCCTGTCAGAAACCACAGAAATGTCAGTTGAACTGGACAAAGCAAAAGGGAACTTGAGTTTGCTAGAAGAAGCAATAGCTCTGCAGGCAGAGCAAGGGCATGTGTTTCACAGCACCTACAAGGAACTGGATAGGTTTCTCCTGGAGCATCTAGCGGGGGAGAGAAGACAAACCAAAGTTATTGACGTTGGTGGGAGACAGCTATTTAGCAACAAACGTAAGGAAGTATTCTTGGCTGTTCTTGCTGGCTTAAGTATTTATCCTGTGACTGATAGAGAACTCTGAGAGAGGTTTTATAGAAACAGTAAAGAATCTGGAATTTACCTGGTAATTTTGCTAATTATGTACCTTCACTCTAGTGCCTTACATCTGACCAGGTTAAACACTGGGTACTTGGCTTCCTGCCAAACTGCTATGTGAAATGTTCAGTAATGGCTACTAAAAGGGCTGTGTAGCTGGCACTGACACTCCTTCTCCTCCTTCTCCTCCTCCTCTGCCTCCTCCTCCAAAGAGCGTAAATACATACCTCCTGAATTTGAGCAGCCAAAAAGAAGGCATTAAAACAGTGCTTAAGGATAGGTTAGAGTGAAAAATTGGCTTCTTCCAAACATATCACCTAATTCCTAAGCCATGTGCTTTCTGAGCTCTGCCTACTTCACGTATCTACATTACATTTTACTATAGCCAGCATTTTTGAGCCAGGAAAGCATAAGTGTGCTCTTCTGCCTCATTCACCATCAGTGGAATTACCAGTAAGTTCCAAAATCTTTATTGTTTCTGGTGCTGTGTGACATCCTACAAAACTGCAGAACCATTGTTCCATATTCTATATCTAATCAGGCTTCTAGAATTGGAGATTTGAAAGATTCAGGTTTGATTTGTATACTGGGTTGGCTGGCATGAAAATCCTTGACTAATGGTAATCACAGAACATTGAAAGATGTCATTTTATAAGCACATTTTCTGCTGTAGTAAGTAACTCTACATTAGTCTGTCCTTTGATCTTTCCTTTTTGGCTTCCAAACATGGTGAAGCCACCCTAGCATAGCTGCATTTTCTGCTTTTGTTAAACAAATGGATTTTGTGTTTCTGGAGTTACTTTAGGGTAACTCTTCAGAGTGGCACTTTAGAGTCCATGTAGATGATGTTGTGGCATTTGCAGATATTATAGTTATTTAGTTAACTAAAACATTCAGTGTATAAGATAACTTATATTTTTTCACTATTTGCAACTATGCTGTATTCTGTATTATTTTCAGGCTGGAAATACATATCATGCATCTCATTCTGTCTTCCCATTAACATGTCATAAGCTGTATGTGCTAGGTGTTGGTCTACCTCCTTGCAAAACTACATTAACCTTTATTTGTTCAGATGACTATGATAAATGTAGAAATTCTGCAGGTACATTTTTTTTTTATCCCGAGACCAAGTTTGTTCACTTGGGTTCACATTGGAGTCAATGTGAGTTTCTCACAACATAAAGAAAGGAGGAGTGCTGGTAAGCATGGTAAAATTTTGCACTTTCTGGTTTACCTCATACTGTCGTTACTAGTAGTTTTCAGGTGGACTTAGGGGCTATGTTCATACAGGAACAAATAAGACCGTCTTCAGGCTGTATAAACACTGCATGATTTTAGTCAGTATATCATCGGGCACAGATTTTTTTTCTTTTTTTTTTTTTTTCACATAAATAACTGGTTTTTATTTCTAGTGATGAAAATCCACCATCAAATCCATCAGCTCTTAATTTTCTTTCTTGGATGGCACATCAGAAGAACATGTCTTACATTTACATTTTTCCATCTTTTTAATGATAAAGCTTTCCAATTACTGAAGGAAAAAATTAAATCATATTTTAGGGTCTCTCTTTCTTCTCTGTCCACTACTGCAGTTTTTTCCATTTGCAGTTATTCTAAAAAGCATGTGGTCTCCTGTTGATGCTCATTCGATTTACTTTTCTCCCCAGTTTTTAATTTTTGTCTTTTACCTAAAGTCTTGCCAGGAAGTTTAACCCTCAGCTGTCTCGCAATCCTGCCGCTGAGCACATCCTACCTCACGGTCCAACAAAATCAGCTTGAAGAAGGCTGCTCCCTGTGCTGGCTGCAGCTGTTTTCTCCCCCAGCGCTGAATGCTGTTGGCAGCCAATCACAGATTGAGCTAAAACCATCCTCAGCAATTTATGCGGCCACTTCCTGCAGATTTCTCACAAGAGATTTTCTGGACCAGAATGCATTCCTTTCTCGCCCAGACTTCTGATCCTGCATTGGAAATCAAATAAAGGCTTTTTGACCAGAGCTTCTTGCACAGTTCTAGGTGCTTGAAACAAAAATTGGGATTGCACTGTGGCTATTGCAGAGTGGTAGCTCTGGGGCTGAGCTGAGACCTCCTCTTTGAAAGGGTATCAGCTGCTCCATGCTTTCACTGTCATTGTGGGCTATTCCACAAAGCAGCATTGCCATGTGTACCAGAGGGAGCTGCTTGCCTTGCCTCTCAAATGTAAAGTGGCACATATTCAGTTTCCTAACAAAGAACCTACAGCCTAGAGATCTGCGATATTTAAGGAATGGCTTCTGGTTGAAATGCTTTTTTGTTTTTGTTTGTTTGTTTCACACCTCATCTTTTATTTGGTTGTCCCAGCTTCCTGCAGTCTGACATTAGCAGAGTAAAAGATTGTTTCTGTTTGGTGCTTTTTGTTTTTGTTGTTTAATTTATTTATTCCTTTATAGATCTTGCAGTTGGCTGATGCTGCCAGTTCTCTGGCTTACTGGATTGTGGCTTCTGTCCTATTTGAAGCTCTGAATGGAATAAATGACACTGCAATCCTAAAGCTATATAGTTTACCAAATAAATGGCTTACCAGGAGTGAGGAGCCTCTGCTTTAAGGATACAGTGTGTAATAACATAAAGAGATGCTGGAATTACTTAAACCTGTGATAAAACTTTGTGTAGGAACTGTGTCTGAAGTACAAGAGAGATTTTATCATCCTGCACTCAGCTGAGTGCAGATAGTCAAAAACCAATCAAAATCCTTATCTGACTTTTTTTGCAGATTCACCCAGGCCTGAAAAGAGAGAAACCAAATGTCCCATCCCAGGATGTGATGGCACAGGGCATGTGACTGGGCTGTACCCCCACCACCGCAGTCTCTCAGGCTGTCCTCACAAAGTTAGAGTGCCACTAGAAAGTGAGTATCATCACCCTGAAGTCCAGAGTAACTGGATCTGGACTACTACTGTCAGTAGCATGTGTTCTTGCTGGAAGGGAAACCCACTTTTTCTGTGTGAGATTGCAGAAAAGGTCTGGGAGCTGCTATCCAGCTCTTGGTCATTCCTACTTGCATACAGTAGCCAATGGATCTTGAGAATCTTGCTTGTCCATGCCTTTCCAAAAGGCATACAGCACAGAGATTACCTGTCCACTTCAGAGCTTAAACTTGATTTGATTTCCTGTAACCACCCATCATGGCTGCTGTTTTCACACTGATACTTAGAGTCCAGGGCATGACTTTCCAGAGATGTTTCCAGCACCCTTCCTTCCACTGATCTCAATGAGATTACTTCCATCCATGCATCCCAGTAGTGGTCCACAGCAAGTCCCTCTCCTAAGGCTGTATCATGCTAATCTTTGTGTGGCTAGTTTAGCCTGAATTTCCCTCTTTATTTCTAATTTTACTGATCTTGTTAAACTGGTATGTGTGCATGTATGTAATCCTGCAATGAGATGCAATGAAGTGTTGCATAATAACACAAAATATAATGTGAAAATTTGTTTAAACATCCTAGATAGTAATATTGCTTTCTGCAGCAGCATGCAAGACAGTAAATTAAAAGGATACCTGATAGAACAAATCATTTGACTGAATGCACTGTACTCCTAAAGGGATAATGAAGATATGAGAAAAGATATACAAAGATGTCTCCTGTTTGACACAGACTTATGTCTTGCTCTTAGTAAAGGTGGTAGATATCACAGCACATAAGAAATGTGCATGCAACAGGTTGTAATCCCTGTTGAGAGTGTAAATTGCTGCTTGGGGTTGACCAGTTGATCAATAGTAGATTCAGAACAGAGCAGATAATCAGAAGATATCAGGATTCAAAAGGACATACTCAGAACAGATCATTTTACATGGTGGAAGGTGCCTTCCTGAGCCAGAGAGGGATTGTAGCTGCAAGTATGCCAACTGTGGTTCTTAGGAGTTCTCTATAGCCTCACTTTTTCATTTACTGTGTTAGTGTTGTGAACCAGAGAGCTATAGGCTTCGTGACTTAACATCCCTGCTAAATCCCACCTTTGTCCTTCTGAAGTCCCTAGGAAAAAACGTTCTGTGTGTTGATAGACACACTACAACGAAGTAGCAGTCAAATGGTCTGTCTTGGAGACACTGGTCTGGCTTCATTGCTGCTTCTCTTCTTTTGAGGTCACAATATGACAGAATTGAGAATCTTCTGAGTCTAAAAAAGAAATATTCTTGTTCTTTAACATCTGTATTATTCAGTTATGTATGTTACCAATTGTTTTTCTTCCTTAGTTCTTGCCATGCATGAAAATGTTTTAAAGTGCCCCACTCCAGGATGCACTGGAAGAGGACACGTCAACAGCAATCGCAACACACACAGAAGGTAGTTCAGAACATTTGCTGCCTGCTTAAAATCTGACATGTACTAATGAATAAACTGGTGGTCATGCCTTGGAATTGGGTGCTATTTACTCTACTGCAAAATGCCTATGAACAGCAAGATTAGTCTGTATTATTTATAACAATTGTTTTTAATTTGATTATTTAAAAATGGCTTCAGCACTGTAGATAGTTGATTTCACTAGTCTTTCTCACAGATGAGTTTTCAAAATGTGGTATCACTATAGTAATAATGATGAAACACCATCATATAAAAAAAAGTTGGAATGAACAAATATATTATAAATGCTACAGCTAGAAATCCCCCAGGAAAAAAAAAAAAAAAGCCTTTTTGTTTTGTACTATATACACAGTAGTCCTTGGCAGGAATTAACTATGTTCTGCTTCAGCAAAACATGAAATTTTACAGGCAAAACTTTAGAATCTCTGTAAAAGCAAACTCCATTAATTAGTTTCAGGAATGTCATCTTCCTGCTTGGAACACCCTTGTCTGTTTAACTTTCTGCCTGCAGGGAGAAAGTAAAACTAAGGAAAGCCTTCCAGACAGGCAGCTGGGGAATCACAGCTGGGCTGCAGGTGAGGCAGAGAGCTGAAGCCACTGTTGTCAGCATGGCTCCTATGGGCACTGATGTCTCCTGGCAGGCAGCAAGCCAAAATATGCCACTGTAGTTCTTACGGAGTGCCATTCCTCTGGAAGAATATATTGTCCATCTAATGATAAAACTTGTCGCAAAAAAAGTCAAAAAAATCTTGACTGAATTGAATTTTTGTGGGATTTTTTTTTTTTGCATGATTGATTTTGGTTAATTTGCTATGGTGAAAGGGCACCAAACTCAAGGATTAACAAACTGTGTCACTATCTCTGATGTAAAAAGATAGCATGAAGTCTTAATTAGAGTGATCATTAGATTGTCTAATATAATATATAAGGAACCATTAAATATTTTTTTCAGTGTTTAGCTGTTTTAAACCCTTGGTTTTCTTAGCAGCACATCACGTGTGTCATAACTGAAACATGAATAGGGTAAGAAAGCATTGTTTAATTAAAGCAAATAGAGAAAGAAAGAAAAATAAAAGAAAAAACAAACAAACGAACAAAAAAAAGTCCAGCCAGAAATAGTAAAATGTTCACTTTGGTAAAAGCCATACATACAGCTATATTTTTCTACAAATCCACTTTCTAACTTTCTAATCATTAGGAGGTTTATACCCAAGAAATAGCTCATTTAAAAAATAAGAATAAAAAAATAAAAATCTTGTTGTGACTTGCCAGCCACAGAACATTAAAGCTCAATGCTGGAAAATTCCTACATGATTCAGTTTCCATTTATATCTTCTCTAATATGCAGATTTCACAGTTTTGCACTAAGGGATGAAAAACAAATGAATCTGACTTTAAAGGGCAGCTCCTATTGCCATAGGGTCCCAGAGAAGTTTGAAGCCATTGGTTTCCATAGCACATTTCTATTACTTAAAATTTCATTTTAAGATTTCTTTCTTTTTGTTTCTTTCCTTCACCTTGTTTTTAAACAGCCTTTCTGGTTGTCCAATTGCTGCAGCTGAAAAGTTGGCAATGTCCCAGGAAAAAAACCAGCTTGAGTCTCCAAAAGCAGGGCAGTGCCATGATCAAACTCACAGGTAGGAGCCTACCATGGTCTAGTCTGCTCAAAGTATTCCGTACAAACTCTATCAGTCCTCAGGTCCTTCACCCTTTTGCTAAAGAGGTATTTCAGTTTTGCAAAATGAAGCTCTGCGAAGGTAAATAACTTGACTGTATCAAGTGGCATTCTGCTGGTCATTGTGAGTGTGGCTGACGCTAAAGACAACGGACATATGTTTCGAAAAGCAATTCATTTTCTTCTACTAAACCTTACTTCAACACAAGTATCTTAATGGACCATTCTCAAATGTCTTCCTTCTGTAAACAAAATCTGCTATCTTTGCTGAAATGTTGGAAATGATTTTCTGGAACTGTTCCTTTGTTACAACGCTTTGTCCACTGAAACATTTTTAAAGATTTTTTTGAGCTTTCTGCACTTCTAGCAGCATGGGGCTACTTTGTTGCGATTCTTTTCAGAGGTATCTTTCAGTGACCCCAAGAAGTTGTATTGTTGATCCACTTATGTGAAAGGATTGAGAACTCTGCTCTTTCAGTTTCCTCACTGTTGATTAATTCATGTTATGAGTTTCTTTAAGTTCATTGATTTAATTAGTTTATTTTTTTGTACAATGGCATCAAAAAGAGAAAACATTTTTTATTGTGATTGTATTTTGTTCAGAGTTATATGGACCCTACAGACATGCATAATTTGCACATCATTGGCACCACGACCGTTACAACCTATTATATTCAGGTCTATTTGGGGACACTTTAATTTGTGGATTATTGACATGATCAGCTCTAATGGTTCCTTCAGAGCCATTATAGAATATTATGTCCATGTGTCTGCCAACTGCACGTGCCTTAACTCTACATATGAAAAGTCCTTAGGAAATTACTAAAGACAAGTACTTACTGAACAGTAACTAAATGGAATAACATGGAATAACACACTATAAATCATTCTTCCCAAATAGCAGAAGCAATTATTTTGGATCATTCGTATTAAATTTATACCATAATCATTCACAGTAAAGTGAGAATAGTGATCCATAAGAATACAAGTCATTTGTGACTTACAAAAATCCAGAAAAATTTTACGTCCAAAAAAAAAAAAAAAGGAAACACAGTGGTACAGAAGTAAATTGGTATCCTCTTTGTAAATTGCCTGCAGCATTGCTGTAGAATACTAGGTATTTTTACACGTACAGCTTTGAACTTATATGAAGACAAAGTACTCTTTGACTTCTTGGTCAGCCACCAGAATTGGATTTCTTTCTTGTACGTATCTACCAGTAGATGTTACATGTGAAAACAATGCACTTTCTGATACTGGGTTGCAACTGTCTGCTACTTTTCAGTAAAATATTATTTAAAGATATTCTTGCTTTGCTATTCTTGTCTTTCTCATGCTTTTCCTCCTTTTCTCTGCAGCACAAATTTGACTAAGCAGCTTGAAGTAGCTCAGTACAATTACAGAACTTCACAACCAGTCACTTCCTCCAGAACCACCCTCACAAAAGAAAAGGAGAAGTTTGGGAAAGTACCCTTTGATTATGCCAGCTTTGATGCACAAGTCTTTGGCAAACGCACAATAGCACCTGCAGTGCAAGGGCGAAAAACACCACAGTTCCTTGAATGTAAGTTTGAAATTCTACTATATTTTGGGAAATGGGCTTTTTTTTTTTTTATTCCCTCCCCACCCGCTTTCAAATTTATAGAATTCAAAAAGTCTTTATAGGAAACATCTTAAGCTACTTATGGCCAAAATGCTAAATATATTCACTATTTGCTAACTGTAGACTGCTAGATTGCTGAATGTGATCACTATAAGGTTTACTTTTTCGATGTGTCTTTGAAAAGCAATTGTCAGAAGGAGAGTTAAAAAAATGAATGATTTTTATCTTATCTGTTGGCTTCCTCCTTGGCTGAATTTTTATATTCTTGCGATAGTACGCTACCATGAGAAGTCCCACAGAATGTCAACACAGAATGCTATGAATTGCATATAGCATAATAAAATTTCAAGTTAGGTTTTAAAAGAAACTTGAGATACTTTTTACCTGCATCCATACATCCATACACATACTCCTCCTCCTAGACCATGTGCTTCAGCTGCATTACTTTCAAGACTGAATTTAATTCATTTTGATTTCTTATATTTCTGTACTATACCATATTCACAGTGCAGACATATCGAATGCATCAAATCATTATCAAGTGCTTACATCACTTGCAGATTTGCTGAAGTAACACTCTGTAGAAATGAGATGCTGCAGTGTGAACAGTGATTGCTTATTGCAGACACATTTTCACAACCTGCATGGGAAACTTCAGCAAGATTGTGCTGTATAATTGGCCATTATAAAATACTTCTTAGTTTCAAGAAACATACAATTCAGTTTCCACAAGGAAAATGAGGAAAAACCAGTTTAATTGTACCATACATGGATGCAGAAGAAAATAGATCTGAAGTACCGATTGTGCGTGACAAAAAGAGTAGTAAAAGAAAACAAAAAAAGGAAAATTCATCTAACTTAAAGAAAGGAAGGAGAACATTTGTAGTAAGGTGAGCATAAAAGCAGAATTTTTAAAAATGCATATATACGACATAATACTTCTAAGAATATATTATAAATATTTTTATATATTTATAAAATATGCTTATTTGTTCAAGTATCTGAACATATGTACATACATATATAATGTATATGTAGACACATGCATTTTTGCATATATGTGTGTGTGTATATATATATATAAATACCTCATTTAAAATGACAAATGGAAAGCAGATATTTATACGGACTGGAAAATAGGCTTGTTCAGATGTAAGCAAATATGTGCATTGCCAATTTTTTGGGTGGCAGGTTTTCCAATTTTGTTTGTAAAATTGAATACACCCTATTAGCTGTCTCTTTGCACAGATGCATGTCTATTTCACAGGCTCATCTCAAGGAAAAAATGATTGAAATGTTTTTATACAAATCAAATCCATACATATGCAATTTCTGTATAACGTATATCAGGACTGAAGTTTATGGCCTGTTCTTACAAAGATTGCAGTGTACAGCTATTATTTTAATGGAAAGGTGAAAGTAAAAGAGCAGGTGAGTGTTTTAGCTGAGCAGATGCATAAAAGTTGGCAGTAAGAAGCTGTGATTTACAGTCTGGTTCAACGTCCTATGTAAATATGAAGCTAGCCAGAACCACATCATTAGTAGTCTGTGGATTCTGCTTTTATAAACTTGATTTGCTGACAAAATGTGTATCCATCAGAGCCTGCTTTTTTTTTTTTTTTTTTTTTTTTTGCCTGTTATGGTGGTTAATAGATAAAGCACCTTTTTACTTGTTAAAAATAATATGAAATTAGCAATAGTAAGTGCTAAAAGACCCTCTTGTTCTGTAGTTTCACAGAGGGGTAGTTTCATTTGTACTGGAGAAAAGGAGAGCTGAATCATGAAGCTCTTATGTTTTGCTTTATTGAGATGCCTTCAGTATTTAGAAAAACAGAACATGGCATTCAACTGCAGTCAGTGCACATAAGCAACTATTTCTTCTACAGCATCCCGAGATTGAGGAAAGATGTCTTGAATATCTCGTGTAGGTCTTATCATTGAAATACAGTCAGCCAAAACTCTATGTCCACAGCCTTGGGGCTGAAATCTTTATGCAGCAAGCTGTTTGTTACATGCAGCAATGTTCTCGTGTATCTGGGTGTAGGCAGAGAAGCTGGATTTTGCATACTTTGTGGGACACTGAGCTACAGAGATGACGATTGTTTATTAAGAACTGAGATCATGATGCTGTCTTTTCCCAGCCACAGTTAGTGACTTCTCAAACTCCAAAATACAGAAAAGAGAGTACAGTTCTTTCTACCTGTTTTGGATTAAGTATTGGTGATGGAAGAGAAAACAAAAAATGATAAACGCCACTTTTGTCCATGAAAGTGCTTTTCTGTTCACCTGCTGACTCTTTGTTCTTAAGTGACCTCTTTGTGTCTACTGAATCTTATTCCAAATGACAGCCAGCATGAAGATATCAGCTAAGACCACTTTTATTCTGAATATTCATTGTTTGTTCTTTTTGTGTGTTTTCTTTTTTTTTTTCTTTCTTTCTTTTTTTTTTTTTTTTCCTTGTTATTTTGTGGTTCTTTAGGGGATCTTTTAGTTTATTTTTTTGTTTTTTTTTTTTGTTTTTTTTTTTTTTTTTTTTCTTTTTTTTTTTTTTTTTGGAATTCTCTGAAGGGTAGACTCAAATTACAGAAAGTTTCCAGAAAAACAGTTTATTCAAGAGCCTGATCTTGTTCTCTTTACTCATACAAACAAAGCTACATAAATAACAGTTATTCATTTAAGTAGGGTAAGCAGTGTTGTTTTAGCTAAGACTGGACAAGTCAGTTGTGTCTTCTTACACAGTAGAGCTCCAAGGGGAAGCCTTCAGAAGGATATATTTGCAAGTTCATTTTCTTACCAGTGTCATCAGATCAAATTTGATAATGTATTAATCCTTGTTCAGTCTTTCCTTAGACATCATTGTGTTCCATGCCTGACTAAGGAATGAGAAAATTCTGAGTAAATGTCTCAGATGCTTTGTTAAAAGATGCGTATATGGATGTGTATAGTTATTTTTCTGGTAAAAAACTAAGTATTCATATTTCTGAAGCCACTTTTACAGTAAACCTTTAGAGTCAGTAAGAAATTCATTGTTTTAAATGTATTCTCTGAATATTTTATTATATGAAATTGTAGTCTGAGAAACAAGACTATTTTATGGAAAGAAATTGCATATTTAAAATTGCTAATCAAATCTCTCTTCAACAGCAAAGCATTTTTCAAATCCAGTGAAATTTTCTAATCGACTGCCTAGTGCTAGCGCCCACACACAGAGCCCTTGCCATGCCAACTCTTATAGCTACGGTCAATGTAGTGAAGACACCCACATAGCAGCAGCTGCTGCTATCCTGAACCTTTCCACCCGCTGCAGGGAAGCAGCAGAGATCCTCTCCAACAAACCACAGAGTCTGTCTGCCAAGGTAGGGTAGTCCAAGAACCTGGAGGGTGTGCTAGCTACTGAACTGTGCGAATAAACTGTCTTTCATGTTAGTGACTGCATTAAATCCCCAAAAAGAAGGCTTCTGTTTGCATGCTCTTTTGAAGAGAAAGAAAAAAAAATCAGTAATGTAGTGGCCATTTATTTATAAAAATAAATAAATAGCAGGAGTTATGTTGTTACTCTTTTCATAATTGAGCCCTACATACAAGGAGGGAATTTTGTGGGAATAACAAAGATGGATATGCGAAATCCAGCAACAATTCGTGTTGGATAATGAGTTAGGTATGTTTAAAGAAGGAATTTTCCTCTCTCTGAAACCTGCCATAAACAATCATTTTGGAGGCTGTGCATTTAAAAAAAGTATTAATCAAGGTGATATTTTGCTTGCAATTAAACAGGACTGCATCTATTGAGTCTGCTGTATTCTGAGCGCATATGATAGTTTGAAATGGTGTAGAGAGATAAATAACAACTGACTTGGATAAAATGCTTGTTTCTGCTGGTGAGAGAGGAGAATCAGACCCACAGTATTTGGAGATAGATAATTTGGGCAAGTCTGTCGTAATGGAATGCTGCCTAATCTCGTAGATGTTTGTGTGGCTTTCATGTTTTGGTTTTGCTCTGCGTTTCCTCACAGATCTTTATGATTTACAAATGGTACTGTGTGAGCTATGAGCCTTATTTTCTGTGCCATTACATGGTATTATAATGCTGATGAAAACAGACAAGATTTTCTTCTGATGGCTGTGCATGTGGGAGCACTGTTGTTTGTTATTTGCATTAAAGTTCCATGTGCTCCCTTATGAACCAACAAAACTTTTGAAAGCTCTGTGTAGATGAGGATTTGCCCTTACAAGAACTTGAGAAGAAATCACTGGGGGGTGAAAAGAGGTGTATTTATCAACACACAAATTATCAAGCGTGTTTCTGTTATGGGACTCAAAGTCTTGATATGTATTCCAAATGACCAGTGATTGTTACACTGCAAGCCTCAGGGTGGCTAGAGGTGGCTTCTGCAGCTGTTGGTTTACAAATTTTCTTGGGCCTCTGTCCACTACTACTAAGAGGCTTCCTGTTATCCTTTGAGGGGAGCCACTTGTTTTACTACAAACATGGCACCTTGTCAGGCAATACAATCCATTCTCCTTTGCATAGTAGTATCTCTTACTTTTCTAACTTTTATTTCTGTTTGTGGGGTATTGAATCTTGAAACCAGCACTGGGAGGTGCCACAGGGTATACATTTTAGTGTATTTATATGCATTCTCCATAATTTAGATATTATCTATCCCAAATATTGCACATGAAACCTTTCTCGTGAAACCTGACAACTGCTGCGGAGAGGTCCTTCCACTGATCTTCTGTAGAGACTTCTAGCATGAAAATGGAAACTGATGCCAATGGCTGGATTACATTGCTGCCGCAGCCTTTGGCTGACCTCAGCAATACAACTTTCTTGCCAGAGACGAGCAGTAAAGGGACCAGACATAAACCAAAGATTTTCTCCTCCATACCTGCTTCACAGTTGCCAAATGATGAGGAAGGTTTGAATAGGAATGAATATAGTAATAACAATACAGAAGAACACTTGGGGCACATAGCTTACTCCTTTTTCACAGCTAGGAATCCAACTTAAAAGAAAATCACCTGCATACCTTGCTATCTGCCTGCATCTACTTTTGCCAGACTTTCTGGAGGGCGTACTGATACAAAACATCTGACAGAAGAATCAGAATTAGCTTCTGGCTAAAACACAGGCAAGTGAGCCCCAACCAGATTTGGTGGCCAAAACCAAACAAAACTGTTTCTATTTGGATTTGGCTATTTATTACTTTAAGAACTAAAGCAGAAATAAGTCTGTAAAAAACTCTCTTCAGTGTAGATATATATTTTTTTATGTTAAAATATGAAACATGTATGAGGCTATATCTAAAAGATACCACCGTCTATTTGTCAGTATTCTTGAATTCATTTATGGCTAGTATTGGTCACCAAGGTAGATTTTTTTAATGATAGAGTGTCATATATTTTTAGATAATCAAAAACATCTCATGAGGACCTTTTCAGTGTTTGGAACTCAAATAATTCACCATGAGCTGATGACTACAAATTTAATGATTTATTTTTCCTGTTAGTGATAGTACACACATTCACCAGGTCTGAAAACACTTGTGAAAGGTGGCTGTGTTTAGAGCTCAGTGAAAGATCTCTGAGCCCTGATCTTGCTACATTCCTTTTGTTCCTTGCCAAAGAAAACCTGATTAACATCATTCTTAATTTAGTGGATCAAAGCCCCTGACTTCTAAAGGTCTTTTCTATTACATGAGCACCATGAAGCCTCCCACCAATGCAAACCACAACACTTGAGAGTCAGAGTGGTAGAAAAAGGGCCAATGGGACCACGGAGGATATGGTAGGAAATCTTTTCCAAGTATATCTATAATAGTCAGATCTGTAAAATACCGTGTTTCTACGTTTTAAAAGAACTTCAATCATTTTAAGCAATTGTTATTTTCTTGTTTTCTCTCAAGGTGCATTGTCCCCGATTTTATTTATTGACCTCCAAGGGCTTGCCATTTCTTTTTAGTAAGAGCTGGACATTTTAACTTGAATGCTTACTACTTTTCTGCAAATATGGATATATAATACTTAAATGAAAAAGAGACTTTTTTTCATTGCAAAGTTTCAATTGTTATTAATTCAATGGATTTACAGGAAATGATCTCATATTTTCCACATATCAGTTCAAAAGGGAGAATCCAAAGGGGGAAAAAAAAAAAAAGTGTAGCAATGGTAGAGAAATCTGATTACACATTAATATTAGCACTGCTGTTGGTAAAAAGAATTTTAAAAAGAGAACCAACAAACCAACATAAGAAAGTTATCTGACATATATTCCTATATAAAAATTCTTAATTTATAAATTAAACAATTTAAAGAATACCTTTATTCTAAAATGGGCATTAAAATTGATCCTAAACTGTCCCCGTAAGTCTCTATTAGCTGTGTGCTACTTACTAAGATAATCAGACTCTTGATTATACCATTTATGTTATTATTTATTTATTATGTTTAAAATAAGTAATACCACATTAACTTTAGAGTATCTAAGCCATTCCATTTCACAGGTGCACAGGTTCACCAGTAAGCTGTTCCCCTGCTTATATTGATCAGCCAATTCTCATGTGGTCTGTACACCAAACCAGTACACTCATCTCCATTTGATTTCCAGCTCATGTCACTACTTTCAACTCGTATTGAAGTAAACAGAAGGACTCCCCTTGAATAATTAGCCTGCAGTTTTCAGCACAGAGCAAGACTCTACATTATCATAGCATCCATCCACTATTTACAGCTCTCACCACATTCACATCTCACAGAGGTAGTTGCAAGCAATGCAATTTAACTGTATCCCCATCACTACTGCTTGCCAAACATTTTGTTTAATGTTTTGGTGTTTTTCCCACCTGCTTAGACAAAATGGCATATGCATGCTATGCCTTGAAAGAAAACAAAAAAAAATGACACTTGCTAAAAATATTTAAAGTTCAAATTCTGTTTTTGAACAAAATTATGTCATCTCTATATTCTTGGATGTTGATGGTGATAACTACATCAATTATTTCAACAATGTAGTCAGTGTTGTCACTTGACACATTTGTCAGGTATTCTTTTATTCCAAATACCTTAAAGCCTAAATACAGAGTGAAAATCAGCCAAGAATATCACTAGGTTCCATCCTGTTATACTGCTGTGCATGTTGCTCCTTGAGTAAGTGCTTGGCTGCCTTTATTTAATTTGTGAATTGCTCTGGGCTGAAACTGTGACTTCATTTGTTTCTCAAATATCACTGGGCAGCTACAAGTTTTCCTGTTTTGCCTCTGTCTTTCAGCTTACTACAGGGTAACTCAATTGTTTAAATTTACGTCTGAGGTATGCATGCATTTATTCTTATTGATTGTGAATAGAAAAAAAGGTAGTCTTTCAGATGGAGTCAAACTAAGAATAGCATTCACACACATGGCAAGAAAGATATTAGTTCCAAAGTTATTTCTAATGCTAGAACTGAAAAGCCCTTTTGAGCTTTCTAGACCAGACTGAACTGCTAGTTGGAAGACAAAATCTTTGATAATGTTGTTTCTTGGGACTTACTTAGTATTAAGAACTATGACTGATGCCAACCAAAGAGTACATAAAACTCTTATATATAATGACACAATCTCCCTTAGGTCACAGGTTTGAAATAGAAATAGTTCATACAGACACAATAATTCACTCTTTCTGATTCGTCTATGAGATAAAGCTTAACTTGTAATCATTACTTGAGACAAATTGCAGCGTATTAGTTTTGAGCTACCAAATGAACCAAAAACATATGAAATAATGCAGCAATAATTTATGAAAAACAAACAAACAAACCCTCCTCCCTTTTATTATCTTGGCTGATATGCTTGAGTTCCAAGACAAGATTAAATAATGTACTAGATAATACTTCGTAATAATTATGCCATAAAATGAAGTGAAGTGAAAAAGCCTGACTTTAAATTATAAAGCACTTGAAGAAGATAGAGACCATTTCTTCATCTAATTTGTGCTAGTCTTCATTTTAGATGGATATACTTCACAGAATACTAACTGTACTTTATCTTTTTCTCTGCATACATTATGGAATGTAGAAAATATACTTTTGTCTTTTTTCTCTCATTTTTCATTCTGAACTCCTTTTTCCACCTCCTGTGGGAATGATTACACTGTCAGTGACGTGGAAATAGACAAGAAGTAACCTGAATTTAATTACTGTAGGTCTCCTTTCACCCTTATTGATTTTTTTTTTTCATTGCTTCAGTAGATTTTTCCCTGGTTTACATCAGTGTAAATGTAAATAAGATCAAAATCAGATACCGAAGATTCACTCAGCTGACAAACTATTATTTTAGGAAATAATAAGATACATTTGAATCTTTATTTTACTTAAATTTTAAGGGAAAGACAGAAAATATACATAGTTTTCTGTAGGTGCTATTAAATATGTAATTAAAAATGGATAAATATGGGACAGTTCCTGTCTAGACTAGAGTTGACAGATCTTGCCTTCACTGAGGAGGACACAACCTTTACAAGCCTGAGATAAGCATAGTAAGTGCCATTTTCTGTCAGCATGCCAGCATTCTTTAGCATTTTTGCCATTTTTGTCTTTTTAGTTCCGTTTTAAAAGTAACGTAAAAACAAATGTGGTAAAACAAGCAAAGCAGACATATTGAGAGGAGGGTGGGATGAGAATAGGAATGAAAACTGGAGCTGTAGTTCTGAGCATCATCTCTCTGCCATTTGGAGTTTGCTGTGAATGTAGCAAAGTGATAGCTATTTTATACTGTTCTGAATAAAAATCCATGCTGTAAACGTGTGATCCATCCTGTGATGGGCAAAAGGGGATATTTTTCCATGACTATATTTAATTGCTGTGTGCATCTGTGAGCTCACTTAAACCCCATCTGTACTCTGCTTCACAAACACACAACCCAGCCTTTCCTGATCAGAATTAGGTGCGTTGGACAACACAGCTTCTGCACGAATTTCAGGAAAGTACTGATATCTATCTATGTTAGTAAAATGTTCTCCTTATAACTCAAAGCTCTTGTTTAGGTTAATGGTAGCTGTTTCCCAGGGGCTATACGTTTCCCAGTATTCTCCTGTGTACAGTTTAATCAAGCAGGGAACCTTGAATGCTTTTGGTCCCTTTTGTTGCCATTGTTGCCTTCTGAGTAGCTGATATTTTGTCAGTGACACAGAATCTGCACTATTTATGGGTTTTGCACTATAAAACTACTGCAGCCCAGTCACATGGCTTCCTTTTCTAAGCCATCTGTCACAGAGGTCTGGAATTTTATGTGAATGTTGGTTGTGCAGACTTAACCCAAGTTTTTTTATTACGAAAATGTCAGCAACTACAATATTTAGCATTTTACTTTACATTGGTCATTAAACTTGATTACTGTAGCTCTGTTTCATGGCTATAGTTACATATCAACTCTGAAGCCAAAAAACACTGGGGCGATCATGGCAGAGCTGTATTGTCAGATCCTGGAGTGTGAACTTGGCACTGATATAGTTAATATCTTGGATTTTTGTAACTAAGGTTTATTAATGCTAGTATAAAAAAATGTATTTGATATTATACAGATGGCATAAGATGTGGTGGATACTAAGTTATTATCCAGGATAAGCTGCACTGTCAAATTCAGGGCTTAAAACTATCACAGGAGATTAAACTATTTACTAAAAAGGGGCAGAAAGATATAACCAAAGCGTCTTAGTATGAACATATTAGAAGTGTATTTACTTCCCATAAATATAATAAAACATCTCTTTAAGCTGTATGATTGAAAATGTGAAGTTTGTCATGCAGACGAAGCAAATGTAAGAAGTGTCTGAGTTTCTGAACTGGGGAAAGCAGATGGCTTGGTATGCTTCAGTCTAGGTGTGCATCTATCACAGGCCCATGGATACAAAACGGAACCAGGATCCCCAAGTCAGGAGAGATCACTGGCCCTGAAATTTTCATCTTCTACCAAAATTTTCCTTGTGATCAAAAATATTTCATCAGCTGCATTTCACCTTTAAGTGAGTCACCACTGACAGTGGTAGAAGACCTACCTATAAGCTGCATGAATGAAGCTTGTGCCTTCAGCCAACTGACTTTGTCATGTCACATTTTCAGTACAGAGAAAGAATTCTCCACTTCATTGTAACTGTTTTTAAGATCCACAAGTAAGCATAAATTTGGTTGCCCTATCTTTAAGCATTCAATGACAGACTAATCTCCAGCAATAGTTAATGGGGAAAAAAAGATATTTACTCTGTCGGTGTCTCATCTTTTCCTAAGAAAGAGATGAAAGTAAAATGGAAAAACTTGCTCCCTGGGCTTATCTGTCTCTTTTCTCTTTTCAACAAAGGATCTAAGTGATTCCATTATGGTACAGGTTTACTTTTTTTTCTTACTCTTTCAGAGTAAGAAAGCTTGATGTGGGCTAATATGACTGTCTCTGAAGTTAGCCAGCACCTAATACATCTAGCCTCAAATTCCCAAGTGGCTTCTGAGCTTTGTGGTGATGGAAATAGAAAATAGTACAGCAGGAGAACTCATCCACATTAAATATAGCATTCAACATGAGTACTACTTCACATGACCTTGTCATTTATCTCTGTAGTCTCTGTATATTTTCCAACTTGTTCAGGTTAACGCGTACAGCTAAGCTACCAAGTGTTCTTTCAGAAGGCACCTTTTTCACCTCTTTTGCTACTTGATTTAATAACTGCTGTCAGTAGTGAGGACCAGTCTAACCCATATCTAAACACTATGCCGATATGCAGTGTTGCTCCCTGGTTAAGGCATACATATTAATTTTAGACAATGTCCCTGCATTTTAAACAGTAAGAGCAAAGGTCCAAGAAATCCCAGCTATAAAAAGGACACCTTGAGCAATTATCTGTGGACAGGAATTGCAATGGTCACAAAGAAGTTTGCAGTGGTAAAATCACCATCAGGTCGCTATTTATCTGTCCGTGAGGACAGGACAAGGGAGCAGTATCTCATCAGTGAGTGAAAGCAAGAAGTTTTTCATCTTCTTAAAGGATGATGTGGACATGCAAAAGCCTGCTTAGGCATATGTCCAGAAGCAGAAAGGCTGTTTTCTCAGTGCAGAAAGGGCTCGGGGTTAGCCCTCACAACATGAGCATGAGGTGAATTTTTTTGTTGCATCTATCACTAAGCTGTACTTTCAGGAGCTTTTTGTCATTTCAAGAAGAGTTTTTACTGTGGAAGGCGGAACAGTGAGCTTTTCTTCCTTGGTTCTCCTCATACAGCTAAGCAGCACTTGCTTCTTCATATGAGCAGGAACTGACCTGAGAGATTCTCCCTGCCTGGAAAGAGAAGTTGGGTCTCTTTCCAAACTGCATGCTCCTCTGCAATCAGAGGCTGCTGCTTGCTGTACTTCCCAGAGTAGCAAAGGCTCTTTTTACTCATATTGGAGGTCTTCATCAAGGAGATTCTTCCAAAGATTCTTCTGTGGCTCTCAGTCTATTGCTCTCTACGTAGGCCTTGTTTTGTAGCAAAACTTTAAAAGATTATTTCCAACTCAGACTATGATTAAGATAATAATATGTGAAACATTCTCCTCCTGTGTTTCTTTTAGGAATATTTCTTAACCCTCCTTCTCTCCTCCGTGATGTAGATTTAATATTTGTGAGGCATGGGGGGGAGGGAGCATATGTAATAATAATGCTGGTGATGATCTAAACAATGCGCTAATGCTATTAACTGTGAATTGGGGTCATAGTTTTCTGTAAGAGTGAAAAGATCAAGAAGATTTAAAGCTAAACTTTTTTTAAATAAAACTAGATTTATAGTGTAGGCTATGATTTAGAGGCATTTTTTTAAAATTCTACTTACAGTGTTTAAGCTGAGATGCAAGGACACCATTACTGAAGCTACCCTTAAGTCTGCCTAAGAGTTGGACATTAACTGATATAAATCGAAAAGCTGGTTTTAGATTCAGATAAATTTAAATGAAAGCATGCATTTATACTTATCCTTTAAAAGCACCACATGTTTATGTTGCAGCTTCACCATGTCCGTATTTAAGCATGTCTCTGTTTCCTGTTGCATGTCAGGGAACTGAGATAGAAGTGGATGAAAATGGCACTCTGGATTTGAGCATGAAAAAGAACCGAAGCCAAGACAAAGTTACGCCTCTCACTTCTTCCAGTACAGTACTTCCCACTCCTTCTTCTTCTCCTTTCAAAACAAGCAGCATCTTGGTAAATGCAGCCTTCTACCAGGCTCTTTGTGAGCAAGAAGGCTGGGACACACCAATCAACTACAGCAAGACACATGGCAGGAAAGAAGAAAAGGAGGTATTTTTTTTCAGTTTCTGAGTGATTTTTTTCCAATGGGCGAGTGGTCAGATAATGGTATTTCAGTAAATCTCTGCCAGTGAGCCTTGGATCTCACATGTAAGTCTATTGGTTCAGAATCCCATCTGAGAGCATAAAATCAGAAATAAAAAATTATTTGAAATTCCTGAAGGTTTTTGTTACAAGTAGCACAAAAGCGTATGTATGCGATTTCCATCAATAGTGATGACTTTTATTCCGTAAGAAAACACCAGGGAAAAATGTAATAGTACATACAAATGCTTTGCCTATTCAACCTATCCTAGGGAATGTAATAAGTCAAACTTAAAAACATAGAAAAAAAAGTGAAATGGACAACTAAAATTTCAGTAAATGCTTTTACTTAGTAATTTTGCACCTTTCATGGCTATTCTTCCTGTCTCTCCCTCCCAACTTGATCATAATATTGGTTTTGTTTACTTGTCATAGAGATTTATCCCATGTTGGCAACATGGCAGCAGAGTCTTCTATTGTTTTTCTCTCCTTCTATTTGACAAGCTTTGGCTTTCAGTTATTTTTGTTCTGTTATTTTTCTTTTTCTTGAGTCTGGTCATCAGAATATGGATTACTTGAATTTTTCTTAAATAAGGAAAAAATCATAAGTCATTTTAAGTCTAATTAGACAAAATCTTGCTAATTAACATAAACAAGCCTTACTGATAACCTTTGAAGTAGAATGTTTTGATTTGAACTTTTTTATTTGGCTTCAAATACATTTACTTCCTATTTGTTGTTTTTACATTATTAAAATATTTGAACAGTTCAATTATTACAAAATTATCTTTTCTTCAAATATCAAAACTGATACTTCAAGAAGGCATACAGAATGGTAAAGCTGTTTAGAGCTGAGGTTAGGAGATTCACATTTACAATTCCAAAAAATATCCAGAAATAGAAGATAATTCAGTTGAACACATAAAAATCTGTCAGGATTGGGTAAAGATCTGCCATAATGAGACAATTTGTGCTATGGTGGATCATTTATCGGAGGCAGGGTTGTCTTGAAGAGCACACTGCTGACACCTCTGTGGGGCTTGACTGTGCTCTTTGCCTCAGCCACAAAGCTCTGAGAGCCTGTATCAGTGTTCTGGAGTGAATTTCACACAACACAGTAGGCTGAGGGCCCCAGCTTTGAGAAAACTGCCTTGCTGCAGGAGATCAGTTGATGCCACAGACTTGGCAAGGGCCTATTCTGTTGCTCCTCCTCCCTGCAGCAACTGAGGATCAGAGAAGGAGCTGTAGCAGAAGCACCCCACTCTTTATGGGATTTCAGATTGCCAAGACATGTGGCTGCCTGCTTCACTCGGCACCAGAGCAGGGAACTGGATGCATCAGCACACTACACAAAATGACAAAGATCACTGCTCAGGCACTCTTGCCCCTAACACTCTGTGCTTTGACTCTATATGGCTTGTTCCTAATTGAGGATCTGGACCCAGACCTCTGCTGTGAGCTTTTGCCATCTCGGTGTGTCCAGTGATCTCAGGGCCAGGAACTCTGTTTTGTAAATCGAAGACTGGCAGTTATCCTTATGCAAAGAAAATGACTGATTATATCTATTTCTAATTCATTGTTATCTGGTTCATATGCACAACAGTTGCTTAATTTTGGTGGTAATTTCCAGAAAATATTGTCTCTCTCTCTCTCAGTGAAATAGCCTGTCCAGATGCCCCCTTAAAAAAAAAAATCTGAATTTGGAAAAAGCTCAAAATCACTCCAAAAGGAAAGCACTGAGAAATAACTAGAGCTGTCAGTTAGTTCAACTGTCAGTTCTCCAAAGATTTCAGGGCTTAAAAATGTTAAAAGTGCCAGATGCTATTATCTGTTATTCATGTTACCATTATGTTCTGGTCTTTGCTGAAATCAATATAAACTTCCATCTGTACATTAATGGAGTTTCATTGCTTGCTTGCTTTCTGGAGTGTGCATGCGTGAATACACACATGCTCTGCAGAAAATAGTGTGTTGAAAGCTCTGCAGAAAGTAGAGTTTGGATGGATTGGTCTGGTTTTCCTTTTAGTCTGGTATTCTTCAGAATTTTAATAGCATTTAATTATAAATCCCATCAAATAGAAAAGCAAAAATTATACATACACTTAGCTGTCATCATCATCATTTCAAAGACCAAGAAGTAGGAAGCACTGAAGGTGTTTTTTTCACAAGGGTTTATTTTGCCATCTAAAGCTAAAACTCTGGAGACAGATGTGGTCCCTTGTGGGCTGCATGTATTGACTCTAGGGCCAAGAAAGGCAAAGTTTGGATATTCTTCTAGACCTTGGGAGAATTTTTCTTTTTTCAAAGGAGCCCATCTATGAAGTTCTTGTAGGTTTTTCTGCATGTCTGTGCATGTATAGCTGTTGGTTTAAAGATTTAAAAATCTTAGTCTGGAAAAGCTGATTCTATAAATCCAGAATTAAATTTTGGAAAAAAAAAAAAACCATATGGATATCTTGTACATTAAAAATATGCATATAGATATACTTACGTGAACCTTTATCTTCCCATTTTATTTTTTTAATTATTCTGTAGATACTTGAATGAAATTGTGTATATCAATCTCAATGCTGCTGCATTTTGTCAAGTCCCAGTGTGTAGAATTAATAACCAGTCCTCTCTATGCAATACGTGTCAGTCAGTGACTTGACAAATATCTCACACAGAGATTTCTTGTCCGACAATTGATAAAGAGATATCTTCCATTTGAGTTAAAGAACACAAGCTGTAACTGAAGATATTAAAAAACTGCAGTGTGAGCAGGCTGATGTGTGCCTGGTCTTTATACATTTCTAAGATTCATCCCATATATGCACTAAATCTTTAGAAAAAGCACTATCTCCCAGTTCAGTAATACAGATGTAGCCTGTTGGATTAGCTGGTAAAAAAAAACGCACGAAACTCATAAATCAACCTTCTTCAACATCCATTACGTTAAATGGAAACCAATCTACGTAGGGCTTCTGAAGTTATCTTGATATCTGAACCCTGCAGCTGTCAGGAGAAGATCACCAATTTGTTGTTCTTTTAGGGCTTTTGATTTTATGGAGACTTACAATAGTGATAATCCCTGCAGAAGCTTTAATTTACATGTATGAAAGAAAGTCAGGACAGAACATGTGGAAGGACATAGTAATTAAATAAAACTCTCTTTCTGCAGCTTTAAGAGGAAAAACATCCACATAAGCAACTAGAATCAGGATTTAACTTAATGCTGGAAAAACAGTCTCTCAGGTTGCTTAAATCTGGAACAAAGCTGGAGTTCCTTTTTCTTTTTTCAATTTTTATCTTCCTGGCTTCCATGTTTGGATGACTTTCAAATATTTAGTATTTCTATATGAATGTTTTAGCACTGCTGATCTATTACTCTTCTATTACTCTTTATGTGAAATTTTCCTTTAGAAATAAAATTCCAAGAGCCTGAAATATATGTTTACTTTTATATCTTAAAATATGACTTGTCAATTACTATGAAAGAGTGTTTAGAAAAGACATGCATTTTTGTGCATGAGATGAGATGAGATTATTCGCAAACAAACTAACTCCACAAATGTGACTCCAAAAATCAGCAGTAATTGATATATCAATAATATGACATGAATTTCTATGTGTATGTATAGTGCGAGTTACAGTAGGCAGTAGGTAGCCAGTACCAGAAAGCAAAACGAAGTCATATTGAAGATCCAGTCTCCAAACAGGCAAAGATGAGCTGCCAGAATTGACGACCATATGGAAGCTTTATCAGAAGAAACACCCCCGCAGAGCTTACAAGTCCCAGTAGGCAGAATCTCCATTTTCAGTCCAGATTCTTCTCAGCCCTCCACTATGTGCTTAACAGTTCTGCAGACATCCCTGCCCCTCTGTCCTGGCACATTCATCAGCTGCACAAGCCCAGAAATCTACAGCATCAACCCTGAGAGTTTAGCAGAAGCTGAGAGGTCCTCCCCTTAACTGCAGGCAGCAGTTTCTGCTCCTACATGTAGCAATCTCAGGGTGCTACCTGCTTGAGAATCAGGCAAATCCAATGTGAGTTCCCAGCAAGGATTTATAGAGATTTAATAATTGATGCTAAGGACTTTGGAGATTTCTTGAATGATGAAATATCCACAGAGCATTACTCCAGAAAGGAAAAACTTAACCTTCATAAAAATAGTAATAATTGAAGACATTAATCCTCAAAACAGTAAAAATGAAGATATCTGAAATGATCAAAGTTTGCTTTTTTTTTTTTTTTTTTTTTTTTCAGAAAATGAAAATGTTATATTCTCCAGAGCTCTGGATTTCCAAATTGTCTCCCCAGGAGAGTGAATGTTCATAGTGCATACTATCTATCAAGCAGGCTTGTAGCAGTGATTTTATCTACAAGTCATAGAAATCCATAATTACCTTTACCAGCCAGCTGCTATGAAAATCTGTGTTTTTCTTCTCATGATTTTTGTTTTATCAAGAATCTTGTCTTTGCATAAGACATCAGATCATAGCTTTCTACCAACCTTGAAAGTGTGGTATTTATATATTTTTACATAGAATAGTTTTTTAATTTATGATTATAATTTTTTAATTCACAATATGGTACAATGGTTCTCACTTCAACTGTGTATAAAACACAACGAAGTATCATAGAATCATAGAATCATAGAATCACCAAGGTTGGAAAAGACCTAAAAGATCACCCAGTCCAACCGTTCACCTATTCCCAACAGCTCCTGCTAAACCATGTCCCTCAACACAACATCCAGTCTTTCCTTGAACACCCCCAGGGTCGGTGACTCCACCACCTCCCTGGGCAGTCTGTTCCAGTGCCTGACCACCCTTTCTGAAAAGTAATACTTCCTAATGTCCAGCCTGAATCTCCCCTGCCGTAGCTTGAAGCCATTCCCCCTGGTCCTATCACTAATGACATGAGAGAAGAGGCCAACCCCCAGCTCACTACAACCTCCCTTCAGGAAGTTATAGAGAGCAATGAGGTCTCCCCTGAGCCTCCTCTTCTCCAGGCTGAACATTCCCAGCTCCTTCAGCCTCTGCTCATATGGTACTTGCAAAGAAAAAGCAAGTATATACTTTCTGAAGTCTTGTTTGGGTCTACATTCAACAATTGCCTTAATTTTCTGTGTGTTTTTCTGTGGTCTTCATCATTGTTATGTAAATGTAAGCCTGATTGTCCCTATGTACATACTAAAACAGCATTTACCTTCAGAAATAATTTCATAATACACAGTTCAACATTTTAAAAAGTCTACCTGCCAGTGCTTTGAATTACAACGCATTAAACTTTCTTAATGGTACTTCTTTCTTATGGTACTTTTTAAAATGTTTTAAAAGACGTTCAAGTTATTTGTTGAACATGTAGAATTCTCTTGATGAGAGAAACCATTTGTCACACTTTCATCTAATATTTCAGAAAGACCCAGTGAGCTCTCCAGAAAACATGGAAGAAAAAAAGTATCCAGGAGAAGTCTCCATACCAAGTCCTAAACCCAAGCTCCATTCAAGAGATCTCAAAAAGGAACTCATCACGTGAGTCACAAAAAAGCGCCATGTTCCTCTACCCTTCTAAAGACTGAGTAAATTGTTTGAGTGCTGAATTGAAGTGCATTTGAGGTAGCCAAGTAGGGAGACCTTCATGATCACTGCATGCAGTTCCCGCTGTAGGTCAGTGTGGAGCTGAGACGAGGCAGAGATAGGTCTGAGAGTTGGACAGATTCAAGACTTATATTCTGCTCTCTATCAGTTTTTACTCTTCATGTAGGTAGGTAACAAATGGGCCACATTTACAAGTAGGCTGTGTTAATGTTTGTGTAATTGAATAAACTTTATTTGGAAAGTCTTTGTTACAGTTCCACTTCCAAGGATTTGTGGAGAAGTGCAGCAAATTTTGCAGACATTAAACATACAAAGTTCAAAGGATAAAATGGATAGTGGGTAGTGAGGAACTGCCCCAGGGTTTTCCAACCCTAGGAAATAGGCTTTAAGTTCTTAATTTGCCTCCTTCAAAGCATTCTGTCATTCTGTCCTACTGAAAATCCAGTGGACTCATGAATTCATACTCTGGGAGAATAGGCTGATGCTCTCTTTTCCCAAGAAAAGAGTCTCATTTGCTTAGTTTTAAACTCCAAAACTTTACTGTCAAAAACTGCAAAGAAATCAAGATAGTTTTTTGGTTTTTTTTTTTTTTTTTTTTTTGTTTTTTTTTTTAATCTTTCTGCACATAACAGTTTGTTTTGGTTCAGAACAGTTTCAGTAAAATTGTAACAACCAGCTCATAATACTGGTCACCTTTTAAAATCCCAGTTAGGCTCTTCACAAAAGCCTACTGGATTCACGTCAACATTGCTATCAATAGAGTGGGTTTTTTGCCATATGGGATTGAGTGATCATTTATTCCACTTTTCTTTTTGTCCTCAGTACAAAGTAGGTCTCTCTAGACAAGTGGAACGTAGAATTACTTAGTGATGATAGTCTATAATGTATCACTGCAGGCTCCTCCATAAATAAATGAGTTGCATCCCATCACCTTGTGTACTGCTCCCCAGACTCAGTGGCACTGAATCAGTTAGATATGACTCTGTCTTTAGAAATAACATATCCCTGGGGCAAGCTTCTGTGAAGAGTGATTCTTTCACCTCATGCCGTGCAGCCTGCATGTTGCCTACTCACCACATTGTATCTGTACTTGTAGTTCACGACCTAAATTGAAAGAGGTCATGTTTGTTTTGCCTCCTCTAAAACAACTGCGGACAAAAATACTTAGAGTTTATTTGCTGAAGACTCTAATGGCTTTTCCTTTGTATTATTTATTCCTTTGCGATACTGACCTGTTTTGAGATGGCTGTGAAACATTTTTCTAATCTCCTAAATAATAATTCTCCACAGTATTTACAAAAAAAGGTGATAATCTAACATTGGTTTTACTGTATTTTTTTCACATGCCGAGTAGAAAGAGGCACCTAAGATGTAGCTGTTCTAAAAATTAAATAAGAAATAGCTTTAATATATCAGCAGATCTAGGTGCAATTACAGGAATCAGACTGCATTTCTGTGATCCCGCTAAGCCTCAAAACTCATACAGAACAATCCAATACAGGTGGCTCCATCATGAGGAAGTTTTTAAAATGACATAAGCACTTGCAGAGAAAAAAAAATTGACCCCATTATCTCATTTGCAGTGAACTACCGTATGAATATCATCTTACTGCATGTGCCTCTTATTTTTCCATGCTGATTCTCTTTACCAAAACTACACTGCTCAGGTTGAAGTGGGCTCTGATATCTTGCTAAGGCTTTTTTACAGATTCGAAAAGTTCCTAGCATTCTGCCACTTCAGAGAAAATAGGCAGGTGAGGATCTGAGGTTTACTCATGGAGCACTAGCTAAATGTTTCTGTACAGATTCTGATTGCCCAGTGAAACACTGGCGTCCAGTGAAACACAGCCATTTATGAGGTGAATGGAGGGCTGCTGTTAGAGGTTTTAAAATATTGTAGAAGGGTATACTTAACTCACTCCTCCTCATCCACCCACAGATTGCATTTCTTGCAATTTTTGCACTCTTGCAGAAGATCAATTGGGATCAATCTGATAAATGATCTCAGAGTTATGACTAAAGTTGAATTGAGGGAAAAAATGACATTTTTTCCTGGTCAAACATGCCTCCATCTCTTGGCATAAAGGAAAAAAATACATTGTGCTAAATGTACACCACATGTAAATATACATTTACATTTACATAAATGCTAAATGTACAATTTTATGCCACTTCTCATTTCAGCTGTGAAAAATCCCATGAAAACACACTCATTCTGAAATTTAGCTGATACATTTTCTGTTCTGCAAGAAACCATAGCATCTATTTCTCACTTATTTCTCACAGCAAATAAAGATCCTGAATGCATTTCTAAAAAAAAGGTGCATTATTTTAGTCAGAAGCTAAAGGAATGATTTGGGATATTATTGTTCTCAGGCCTGTGTTACACACAAGATCAGATAGGAAACTTTACCTCTAGGATTTATGAACTGCAGTTAAATATTGGTAGCAATAGTGAAGTTTCTTTTCAAGAATCCGAGTTGTAACTGAAAAAGCTATGCAAAGCAAGGTGGTTTCACACTTGCATAGATCAAAGAAGTAAGGTTTTGACTGATTTGCATGGTGGAAATAGGAATTTTTTTCCTTCTGTGCTTGAAGTACTAATTGAAAATTAGAACTGTTATGTAGATTTTGTTAGTTTTTGTGGTGTCATGATGATATTGAGATGGGTTATAATGAATATGATTGTCCTACATATCGTTATGTACTTAATTGCAGGGTAAGCTATGTGATGTCTTGTGCATGCTCTAACCTCTCACTGCATCTTTGCATAGCTGTCCAACTCCAGGATGTGATGGTAGCGGTCACGTAACAGGAAACTATGCCTCACACCGCAGGTAAGAAACAACAGGAAAACCAAAGCAGGAAATAGTGCTACTTTTACCTGCTATCATTTAAATTTTTTTATATACTAACCATGGATAAGTATTCAAAAGTAATTTACAGAAAATAATCCGTACAGAAAAGGGTCTCTTTTTTCCTGTTTTATATTTTGTAGAAGGTCTGGACTCAATAGTCTGATGGATTTAGGCAGCATATGCTTATTACTCAAGATGGCTTAGCAAAGACATGTAGATAAGTCATTCAGTAGAGGTTGCATTTCCCTAAGTGAACAAGCACTCTCTATACAGATGAGATATTGGATGGGATTTTAAATAAGGTTTCCGTAGAAACTTTTTCTGCAAGTGGCTTTGAAATTAACAGAACTTCCAATACATTCTGTAGCTGCAAATTATTTCTTTAGAATAGCCTACTGTCTACCTGGGGGTTGAAACAATATTTTTTTCTGTTTCCTTTTGAGAACAAGATGGAAGCAGCCACATGGACCAGATGCTCTACCTGCCATTTATGCAGAAAGGGCTCTGCATAACACCACATTGCCGTTTAATGCTTTACAGGGACTTAGAAAGCTCTAGCCTTAACCATATATGTTTTCAGTAATTCAAGAGTCTGGCATAGATTGTTCTTCCTTTGTCAACAGGAAATAGTTGAGGGTCTGGTTTTTTCCTATTTTTAGTCACAGATTTTATAAAAATTGTTGTTTTAAGAAAAGAATATATACATTTTGTTTCAGTGAAACATTCCACATTGTATTTTTCAGTGTTTCTGGGTGCCCACTAGCTGACAAGACATTAAAATCCCTTATGGCTGCTAACTCTCAGGAGCTTAAGTGAGTATTAATAATAGTAAAAATGTAATTCTTATTTATCTTTGATCAACATGTTCCCTATAGTAATTGAGTTGTTCATTTTAATTACTCTGTGCAGCGAAGTATGAAATATTTCAGTGAAGTTCACTTATTAAAACAGAGTTTATTTCTCTCAATTTGCCTTTCTTGTTTAGTGTCCCTTCATTTTCATGAATTAGCCAGGACATGAAGAAAAAATACTGAAAACACTAAGAGTAACAGTATTTTTCATTCAGGAAGAAAGAGAAAAATATTGAAGACATACCACTGATTAGGGAAGATAGAATAAATCAAAAAACTAGACCAGAATTCCTGCATATCATTTTTTATCATTCAGTACCATATACTATGTGTTTAATGTCATTGAAGCAGACATCGAGTCACATGATTTTGTGCTGGCATAATTTTCACCATGAAATGTCACTTACAAAAGGACTGTGCGGGCTCTGCTATATAGACAGATGTATAGGGACATATGAATATTTCAAAAATCTGTAGTCAAGAGAGGCACTGGCAACCAGTCATCTAGTTATTGAATTGCCTTTGTCAATAAGGACATGGGGAAGAGGAAAGGATAATTAGAGTTCTTTCATGGCTTTCTCTCTGCATCTTGTAAATTGGATCCTGTAATAGATGGCTTGGAAATCTCATGGATGCATGTAAAAAGAGAAGAATCCCGTGACCATCCTTTCTGTCCTTTACATTCATCCCTAATCCAGACAGAAGAAAATAAAGTCCAACTATGGCACAGTTATGCTGATAAGATGATGTTTATGACTGTACTGATTACACATAGATTTGGCTCAGTGCTTAGTCACAAGTTAGCTTACATAGATCAAATACTAGTGGTCTCATTCTTTAGTCCAATAACATGAATTAAAAAAAAAAGAATGAACTGATGGTAGCTATGGACGTGAACCTGCTAGAGGTGCATCAAAATGGCAAAAAAGGTCCATTTATATGGGCAATTGCTTGAAGCAGTTCTGAAATTTATTAGGGAAACTAACATACTGGCACAGTATTTTATTGAGTCTCAAATGTATAAAATTTAATTTTAGTATTTTTTTAAAAGAGCAGCACAAGAAGCAGGGAACTGACTTGTGAAAATGCTGACAAATTTGAAATCATTTGCTGAGTCATATGTATTTGTCCCTGCTTTTTCTGGCTTTCTGCCATACATAGACACTCACACAAATATTTTGAATAGTTGCTCTTCATGCAGCCCCTCCCCCCCATATTCATGTGTGAATAAAGAAATTTGCATACCAATATGGTTATTTTTCCACTAAAGCTTCTAGAGTTTTGGTCATGCCATAAGGAAAGAGGAGCAACAGCATATGACTTAAATGACAAACTGCACATTGTACGCCATGTATTATAAGTGAGTTGTGAAAGACAAAGTCAAAGTTCATGAACGTTTCACAGACAGAAATATGTTGCATAATGCACTTAGCATTTAATTTCAATTAGCTAGAAAAGAGCAAAAATCAAAATCTGTTCACAGACAATTTGCAAAAGGGAAAAGGGCGAAATAAAATCATTTTCCACAAATGTACCAACTTATTTTAGCTTCCTGCAAATGTAATTCAGGTGAAATTTTAAACAAAATTCTGCTTTTGATAACAACTAAATGAAATCTTTTGCTTTTAGTATAGTATAGTGATATCAATAGTTTTACTTCACAGAGATGAGAGTAAAGGGCATAATGCTCATAGAATCAGGCCACCAACGTACCCTCATGTAGTTAGGCGTGAAGAAGAAAAAGCTGTGTATTTTTTCCAAATGTTATTCGTGTTTAATTTGCCAGAATCAAGATATGATTTTGGCTTTAACTGTGAATCTCTAAGCCAGCAAAGATACAAGGCTTCCATGTGATCTGCAGTTGAGAAATAAGGAATATCTGCTCAAAAAGTAAATCAGTCAAATTCAAGAAATATAATATCTGAGAAATTCTCATTGCACTGCACAATTTAAGATGGTTGAATTAAAATACACGAATGTTGATGAAGGATTTTTAAGCTATTACAGAGAGTTGTGATTTAATTCACTTTCATTTCACCAAAGAGCTGCTTATCAAACCTTAAACAAGTTTAAAAGTATACTATATAAGAATATCTAATTAGAGTTCAGAAACGTTAGGAAATAGGTAGATTCCACATACCAAGTTGATAAGTTATGCATATTCCATCAACAGCAGCATTCTAATCATTACCCTTTTTAAGTGACTTGTGTGGGTTTGCCTTAGGTAAAGTTCCTATCCAACAATTTCTTAGAGCTTTACCATCGGTAGAAGTATCAGAAGTGCTTCTAGATTCTCAGCTGAGTGTATCAATTTTATGTGAAGTTGTAGTTTGTCTACCTAAAGATAGAACACTGAAAAGGGGCACAAAATGACAGGTACTTGATGCATGGTTACAAAAATTGCTGTGTGAAATCACTGTGAGATTTGTTCTTAGAAAACAAACTTGATGAAGTGTAAAAGAATCTGTAACCTACACCCATTCAAGAGCTGACATCGTTTAACTTGAGATCCTGTGACCTCTGGCTCTCCAACACAAATGTGATTTTCTTTGGCTCTCCACAGTAACTCCCTAAGCTGGGGCATCAGTTCAAACTCATCAGCCAGTTTAAAGCTGATCAAGATCCACATTACCACTGACTGAAAGGCAATGCATTGTTGGTATATCTTGTGTTGTGAAATATCACAATATTATTAATATCTTACCTTCATATCTTTAACATTCTCAAGAATGCTTTGAATTCCAATCTAGTTAGTCTAACTGCTACCTGAGGAAGCAAGTGCAAATGGGGAGATTCAAAATTGTCTCACTGTACTTTTATGTCCATAACTCTCAGACTCATGATGTGAATATATTCCATAAAGAGCTCTTGGTAGATTAAAATCTGGGTGCAGTCTATACAGACAACTCTTCCATCTGTGATCATCTGATAAAACAAGTAGCCCAAATTAATACCCATAGTATTTGGCAGGTATTCTGGCTTTACTGGTGAGCATTCACACCCTCCAGACATCTGCCCTAATTGCCTGCTTCACATAACATTGTGCCCAGTTCTTGTCATATGCTCAGATAGGTCAGCATTTAGCTGAACAGTCAAGCATATCTGGCACTCTGCAACCCACAACTCTACCTTTACTGTCATTGTGAAGCATATTATTCTGCCCAAATACTTTTGTTCAGAAAATATCATCATGAAATGTTTTGAAATTGTTACTTAAAACAAACAAACATACAAAAATAAACAGTTTTCACTTTCTTCACTTGAAATTATTTGCTGAGTTCTACTTGAATCACTGAGTAAATCTGGTCATGTCCAAAAGAAAAGCATTTTCAAATATTCAAAGATGCAAGTGCACACGTAGACATGATACTACAGTTATACATGTAGAAGTTTTCTGTGACAGTGTAAAAACAACTGATCAAATCACCCATCTTGTCATCTTGGCCAAGATTCAGTAACAACCAAGATCCATACAAGATTCCATAATGGTTCAGTCAAGATTGTTTGGCAAAACTTCTGTAATTCTGAAACTCTGTAAAAATCATAGTATTTAAGAGGCCTTTAGGGATGATTAACATAACAACCTGGTGCTGTAGAGCACAGAAATGTGGAAATGGCTGGCACTACTTCTAAAGGTAAATATTTTCCTTATGCTCCTTCCTGTATTGAGGCATGTTTCTCTAAAAAAAACCCACACATATACAAATTCAATGAAAAAAATGACAACAAATGACCAAAAAAAAATCAGTTTGAATGACTGCTTCACCAGTAGAAAGTGATGTCAGTAGGGTCCTGTTCCCAAACCCCCAGAAGTCAGTGGAAAGACCTATTGACTGCAGTAGGCTTTGGGAGCCCACTTTTCATGTAGTACTAGTACCAGATCACCAGCAATGATACATTAACAGGCAAATTTGTTTATTTTCATTGTATGGATGATTTAGTACTAAATATTCATTCTTGAAAGGCTTCTATTTTTTGCGCACACACACACACACAAAACCCCTTAACTATGAGATGGAAACGTAATCCAATTGCCAAGCTGAATATCCAGTTGCATCTAGAGTTAAATAGATATCCTGTTGTATAATTACAGTGCTAGGAATATACAAGCTACTAAATTCAAATTCTGGCTATCACACTAACTCTATTGATGTACAAAAGTAAAACTGCTTCTCTGCTTCCATTTTCCCTTTTGTAAATACTGGCAAAGTGCTTATTTGCATCCATACCTGTGAATATCAGAAGGATAACAAACAAATACATACAGTAAATTTACAAATAGATCTATATCAATCGGCTTTTTGCTTGTTTGTTTGGCTCTGTGCAAGGAAAAATGTTTGGTGCAAACAGTGTTATGAATTGCTTAATTCCATATATCTTATGCAGTACGTTTAATGTTCCTTACTAAAATTCAATTATATTAAAAAAAAAAAAAGTATTTTGCACATTAAAAAAAAAAATCAACAAGAATTAGCTTTAATTACTCAACAAAAGCTATATGGTGGAAGCTTTCTCTCACTCTAGACAAGAAGCACCAAATACATGTTATTTACTGCTATCTTCAAAGTCATGTAAGTATATTATTCTATAGGTGCCCGACACCTGGTTGTGATGGTTCTGGCCACGTGACTGGGAACTATGCATCACACAGAAGGTAAGCACTGTCCCATGAATTGAGACTGCAGCACTTGGGTTTATTGGCAAGCAGCATCCTAACGAGGTGGATTTTATTCTGTGTCCTTGCAGCTTATCTGGTTGTCCCCGTGCCAGAAAAGGTGGTATCAAAGTGACTCCTTCCAAGGATGAAAAAGAAGACCCTGAACTTAAGTGAGTACAAATGTGTAAGTCGTTGTGAAGGGGGAATAAACAGTAAGAGCAGAAGGGATGAAACATCATAGGAATTACCCAGCCCACCTGACAATAAGCCCAATAGCTGAAGCCAAACCAACTGCTTCAGTTTTTAGTGAAGCTGATGGAGTCCATCACATCGGAGCTTGAACAGCGAGGAAGACTTGTATTTTCTCGTATCATTCCTACTCATTTAACTGATAGAATTTCACTTGAAGTGAAAACTGAAAATTCAGTGAGTATTTACTGCTTCCTTACTTGAATGCAAATTCCATTAAAATCAGTAACCGATAACTTCCAGAATACAGACATGAAGATTTAGTTGCACTTATTAATTTTCTTACTGCTTGCTAATGATATATGAGAGACTGCATAATAGTGGCCGAGCAACTAAAATAAAAATAAAAATAAAAATCCTAAACCTTCCTTTCTTCCTTTCTTTGCATATGTTTCCAAGAGTTTTCCAGTAACATGGATCAGAATGTTTGAGCCCAGCCTCCACTTCCTGTCAAAAACACAGAGAAGAGAGAATGCTAATGTTTCATATACCTACAGGTTGTGTTTTATAGTCTATGATAGAATTTCAGTTTTCTTTTCTGGTAAAATACTATCTGAACGAATGGTTTCATTTCTTAGGCTGTTCAACTTCACTTTACATTGCCTAATCTTAAAATTAGGTAAACCTCCATAACTCAGCTTGACATGAATTGAATGCTCAGGTATAGTGCATCTTTGGGGACCAAGCGTTAATATACGGATGCAAAGTGACATAAGTAGCTGAACATATTTTCTCAGACTTCCTTGAGAGTGCTTTCACCAGATGTCTCTGATAAAAACCAGGGTTCTTTTGCTGTGTTTCTGTAGATGCCCAGTGATAGGCTGTGATGGCCAAGGTCACATATCAGGTAAATACACTTCTCATCGCACTGCTTCTGGTTGTCCTTTGGCTGCCAAGAGACAGAAGGAGAGTCCCGTCAATGGGTCTTCACTATCCTGGAAACTGAACAAACAAGAGCTGCCACACTGTCCTTTGCCAGGCTGCAACGGGCTGGGTCATGTTAATAATGTTTTTGTCACCCACAGAAGGTATAACTTTGTGTTTTCTTTTTCCTTTTTCCTTAAAGTTCCCCTGTTGAATTGGCAACAAATGAGGTTACAGTCTGAATAAATTGTGCAGAGGTTATTTAAATAACGAGATAGTTTACATTGAAACTGAAGTAATATGGATCAGAATAAGCTTGAGACAGCTTGGATCAACTTTTAACTCTTATTTTATGTTCCCCTAGCAATGTGACTTCCCAAGGTCTTTTTATTCAGATTAACAGTTTCTATATGATTTAAAATTTAATAAGAGTTCTGTCCTAGGCAAATATGGAGTTGGATCTGTGTATCTTTTATAGAAAATTCAAATATCATTGAAATGTCAACAAAAGGGATTAAGCAAGAGCAATGTCTGCATTTATTTAATCTTTTTACCAGTGGCAAACTTGTTTTCATAAACTTTGTATTTAAATCACTAGAACTGCCCAAAAAATTAAACACACAGAACTCATGGATCACACAAGTTTGCTGTTACAATTTTACAAACAAAACTATCTTTACAAAGTAGGAATCACACATATAGCCAGTGTTCAATAAATATCAGATTTTTATATATTAAGATGAAAGCATTAATATCATTTGAACATGTTCAGTCAATATTACTCAAAGAATCCGTTTACAGAATCAGAAATACTACTTTGTAAAGTTTAATTTTCTGTGCACAGAGGGAATTAAATGTCTATTTTACATCTACTTTGCTTTCTTTTTAACATTCTGAATCAAGTACTCTAATACAAGAATGTCCAATATAATCTGAACCAATTCAGTCGGAGGAAGTTCAGTATGATTCAGCAGAACTGTGTGCTCAAATTTCACAGCCTCTGAAAGTGGTTGTTTAAAGGTTCCCCAGCAAGCTCCATTGCTCTTACTTTTCCCTTTCCTTTCAACCCTTATGTTCATTCTGGTGAGCCAATCCTTTTCCTAACACTTTTCTCTATCTCAGCCTCAAGCCTGTGGCTCTGCCCCAGCCCACTCCCAACTCAGCACAAGACTTTGTTTTTCCTTATTTGGTTGTAATACAGTTACACAGAACTCTTAGCTCAGCTGCTAGGACAATGTCCTGCTGTTTGAGTGACCTATTCCCAGTTCTGTCTGCAGCAAAGTTTTGTGGTTGTGGTGGATTCATTGGCTCAAGAGTCAAACTGTTTGCTCTGCACCCATTTCTCATTATGTAGCGTTTGATAATGGGAGACTGCCAGTCCTCAGAAACAACCACCCAGGATGGAAAAGTATATCACAAATCCTTCACTGAAATTTTAGGCAGCCTACACATGAGCATTAACTTTTAATGCCAATGCCTCATCTGTATAGCAGATGTAGTGGAATCAGACCATGATGGGAATGCTGAGAGATAAATTCCTTGAAGAGTTGTGAACTGTTCATATGCCAATTTATTTATAGCAGAGAAGAAACCTCCAAAGCAGTAGATTTGTCCATTGTTATCCTAAATTTATGAGCATGGTAAAGTGTTTACATTACAATACTATTAAAAATTGGGGCTAATTAACTCATACTACACAATATGACACCTTCAAACCAATAGAATAAAAAATTGGTCTCTTAGATTACTTCTGTCCTACTAGAGGCTGGATCACTCTTAAGATCATATAATTAGCATAGGTTTATGATGTTATATCCTTACCTAACACACTTGAAACCCGACAAACCACCCAATGACTTTGAGACAATGACAGCTCTGGGCTGAGCTCCAGACCGATACCAGAAATGGAAAACTAGCACATTTAGCTAAGCAGGCAGGAAGCAAACTTAAACCTTCCAAAGTTTTTTCTTATTTATTTATTGACTTATTCATTTCCTCTGTGGAAACACCATGTTGAATAGGATTCTTTTTTCACCAAATAATAGTAATAATAAAATAAAAATAAATAAAAATAGTACTAGGAAAAGTTTTGCCTTCGTTCCTTACTTGGCTACATCTAAATACAAAGCCTTTTGCCAGTTCTTCAGCATGTGGTATTTCTTCTTTGTTATTTTTAAGACAGTGCAATTCATCTTAGCCCTTTAGTAGGCAATAAAAATTGCCTCAGATAATTACCAGCTGATGAAATTGTAAGCACTGAAATAGCAAAATATAATTTAATGTGAACAGTGGTTAAAAAGCAAACATTATATAATAGAACCATTCAAAAAAGCTATTATGGTCTATAGGGTATACCCAGAGTTATTATTGTATTGATCATTATTATATATCAACAAAATAATGCAATAAATGTGTGCTGTGGAAATCAACCCATTAACAATTTATTTTTTTAAGAATGGTAAACTTGCCATTTTAAAGGACCATCTGCCACTCTCCTCTGAAGCATAATCACTCAATAGAAACAATAGAGTTTTTATTTGTTTATAAGTGCTGGAACTTCAAGAATTCTGTAAATGCATTTCCATGTAACTTTACAATAGCTCCCAATTCTCTTTTGATTATTCTGAAATATGCTTAAATGTTGTTTACTTATTGGTTGAGATATCTGTTCCAATTTTCAGGCTGGAATATGCAGTTAAATAGCTCTTTATGAGTTATGTCATTCCCTGAAGCTATGCTATAATGGAGATACTGATGTGACCTTAGATACAGAGGTCTGTCCAAGTGCATGATAATATTGCCTGAAAGGATTGTTGCCACTTTCAAGTGGGTGCTAATGTTTTTTTTCCTATCTGTTTCAGTCTATCTGGTTGTCCTCTGAATGCACAAGCCATAAAAAAGGGCAAAATTTCGGAAGAGTTAATGACTATCAAGCTTAAAGCAAGTGGTGGTAAGGAGATCTGTAAAAGATGATGACATTTATTCAGATAGAAGGGCCTGGTCTCCCATTTATACTCAGGCTCCTTGATGCCATTCTGGCATTAACTGTCACCCCTTTCAGTTGTCTCTAGCAATAACTAAACTTGAATAACAAAAATCTTTGCGTGAAAGATTATAAAATTCAACTCATTTACAGCATGATAATTCAAAATTTGGGAGTATGATCTTTTATCTCAGAATATTATTATTATTATTATTAATTTGGAGGTGCTCTTGCTATTGTAATTAGTAATAAATTATTAGTTACAGATCAGAAGAGCTAGCTGATGTTAGCTAATGGTTAGGCTAACGTAGAAGGGAGATAAATTGCATGTGTAAGTTGACTCCTCTTTGACTCCTCTTTTTAACTTTAATACTACATGTTTCTGTGCAGTACTTTGAAAATTTTGCTAATCCTTATAGTAAGAGTAAAGGAGCAACTACCAAATAGATACAATATAATATTACTTTCTTATAAAACATGCTTTAGAAACCTGGGCATTGAGCCAGGATGAAAGGAACTTGCCTTTATGCTTCCAATAGCTGAGCAAAAGTTCTGTTACAGTTGTGTTACATTGGGCAAATGATTTTGCTTTCATGTGCATCTCTGTCCACATTATCTGTGGGGGAGGAATTGCTACTGACAGATTTCCCAAGTTGATTCCCCAGCAGACTCAGTTCAGGGCTGTAGATTTTAGAAAAGAAACAGACCTGGTACTTTTTTCAAGGTGGAATTGGTTTCAGAATGATAGTGAGCAGAAAGACAGATATGTATTGCCAGCTGCTGTAGCTGCTCAATATTTTTTAGAACACGACTTTACTAAAGGTCCAAAGATAATTTTCTTCCCTGCCTAACTTGTGGGATGTGAAAGTCCTCCTTTCTTCTTTTTTTTCTACAATGTTTTTTAGCTTTTGATATCATTCACATTTCACACATACCTAAGGCTGTGATCCACTAAATTATTCCACATAGAATTTTGCCCCCACATATTTTCCTGAAAGATCAGAAACAGGTAATAAAATAAATAAATAAATAAATAAATAAATAAATAAATTGCAAATGCTCCATCGTATTTAATGATATACTTTCCTCCTCCCAAGTATTTGTGCAAGTTTTTCCTTTCTCTGGCTAGTTTGTGGTTGTATGTTAAGCTGGAAAAAAGAACTGTCAAATACAAAAACTCAGAGAGCAATAATTTTCCCTTAGATGTTTCAGCTCATATAGAGTTTTACAACTAGAAAACAATTTTGTCAATAAAAGCAAAGTAAGAGGCAAATTAAACATCAATAATTTGATCAAAAGCCTTTTATCTCCCTCTTGTTCAGCAACAGGTAGCACTGTTTGTTACTCATACGTCCATTTAGATATGAACACTTTACATCTGATATTGATATTTTCAACTATCTGCAGGTATTGAGAGTGATGAAGAAATCAGACATTTGGATGAAGAAATAAAAGAACTGAATGAATCCAATCTTAAAATTGAAGCTGACATGATGAAACTTCAAACCCAGGTATGACATCAAAGCCGAAGTTTTCGTTTTTCTTGTACTATGGTTAAAAGCATACTCTTCACTCTGTAGCATTTAAAATTGCAAAAATCCCAAATGCCTTTTTGTCAAGTTTTTTTTTTTTTTTTTAATCTGTTTTCTGTAAGTAAGTAGCAGGTTCCTGAGAATTATTATGAAGATCTACTGAGTGATACGTTGATGGCAGTTTTTGAGCTAATCTTGGCAACCAGAGAAACCATATTTACCAAACAAAACGTTCGTTTTCCTTTGTTGACCAAACCTCTGTTAAACACACCGCAGAGAATCCCATGACTGCGGTAAGAACCCGGGCTAGGGAAGGCATCAGGAGCCTGCTCTGACTTTTAATACGTGTGAGTTTTGTTGTTTTGTACTTAAAAAACTGGCAGTTACTCAAATAGTTCGAATTTTGCCCCCAGGCAACAGCTGGTAAAGAATGGATGCCTCTTGTTAACTGGTAGGGCAGATTAGTTGAAGGGGGAGCTGTGGAAACGGCATTCACTGTCATTCTTTTGTAAACTGGCAATATGGCATTAGCCTCCAGGTGCCGACTGTGGTTCTATGGAGAATGTTCCTCCACAAAGGGACTTCTGCATGCACCTGAGTGTTCACCCCGGTAAATCAGGTTGAAATAAGAGCTCATTATTTTAGGAACAATAAGATTTTTAGAGAATAATTCCTAAATAAGAATAGATCTGGTAACAGAATGCAAGTCTAAACTGATCCAGAGCAGAGTGCAGCCACAGCCCTCATTTGCAGAATGCTCTCAGTGCTGATTCATGCTGTTTTTATAATATCCAGAGAGTGTATAGTTTAAACACAGGCAAAGTTTATACCACCTGCACTGAGTATAAACGCAACCATACTGCAATGCTTGTGTCCATCCCAAACCGAATAGCAGTGAGGTTTTTTTCAGTGTTTCTGGACGCTGCTTTCAGTTCTCTCTGTTTGAACAGAGATGGCCTAATTTATGCAGCTAGTTTTCTCCTCTGAATTACTCAAGATTGAAGACAGTCTAATTAGCAAAGCCTGAACTACATCTGCAGCAATGTGTTTGCTACAGGGCTTTGCTCTATCCCCTTTTAATCTCCCCGGATCAGGTGCTTGGCTGCCTGGAGCACGCTCCATAGGACAGGCATCAGGGGTGTAGACAAACAGGGCTCCTCTTCCTGAGGGCAGTCTGGGTCTGGGCAGTGTGATGAAGGAAACTAAACTGACCAAAACAAGGAGAGATTTAAGCAGTGCAGAGAGGTGTCGTCCTAACAAGGAGAGAGTGGGTCTAACACTTGCAGCTGTGCCATTGCATTGTCCCTTCCAGGGCCATGGGCAGCCTTGGCAGTGGCTGCATTGGGTGAAGCACCAGGCCCTGCCATTGCATCCTTCTGTTTTTCAGCACAACTTTTGACATATGAACTTTCACAGCTCAGTATCGCCTTCTGCTCTCATGCAGAAATTATACCATTTCACTACCTCAGGAATATTTTTATGCTGTTTTTAAACACCTGGTGTTTCCATTTTGTTCCTCAGAGATCTCAGCAATCACACACTCAGCCTCTCAATTTCCTTCCTGCTTAATTTTTCTCCCACTGATTCCATCACATTCCATTCCATCCATTCCACTGATTTTTTTTTCTTGCTAACCAGGCAGCTCGCAGCTCTACCCTCCACTAAGCAGTGAGGCAGGGAGGTAGCATAACAACTAAAAGCTGTGTCATGACCATTGTGGGCAATCAGCAGGGAATACTTTAAGAGCAAGTCAGCAATGCAAACATCATCAGCCTCCTTTCTTCTACCTTCCACCATCCCTGAGGCCACTCTCCATCCCAGTGTATCCCCTTTCCCCTCTGACCTCATTTCCCTGCTCAAAGTGCTCTCCGGTGCCTCACTGACACAGGGTTTCTCTGTGAAACCACAGCAAAATCCATTGATTCAGACTGAACACAACTTGCTGTGATTATTCTATGGAGAGGTTATATCCATCCTTTAAAAAGTGCCTGAGTTTCAGACCCACAGTGTGACAATGTGACTGCCAGTTTGGGCTCAGCACTGCCACAGTTCTGTTTGATTGTAGATGTCTGTATTTTACAGATCACGTCTATGGAGACCAACCTGAAAACAATAGAAGAAGAGAACAAACTCATAGAGCAGAACAATGAGAGCCTGTTGAAGGAGCTAGCTGGTTTAAGCCAAGCCCTCATCTCCAGCCTTGCTGACATTCAGCTTCCACAGATGGTAAGACCACAGCCAGTGGCTTCGCACCTTCTTTGAGATTGTATTGCCAGCACCTGAAGCAGATGAGATTGCTCAGGGACTGACGGGAGCACTATAGCTGCATTAGCAGAGCTCTGCTTAGCCTAATTTACTCCGCGGAGATGCTGGATCTTGGACTCTGCTTGATATCAGACTCAGCTGCTTCCAGGACTGAGCCAACAATGGTGTTTCTGCCCTGCACAAGCTTTTACTCCACCCCTCCCCAGTTCAGTGTCCCCCTGCACAAGGTGTGAAAATTTCACACTGAGAATCTGTTTTTACTCTTAGATCAGAATATTGACCTCTTTCACTGAGCTCAGTGCTATGATCCTTTTAAGGCCGACAAAACTCTGCCTCTGAAAAACTCCATGTCCTATATGTCATCCAAACACAGGCCAAATCCACCAAGGTAGTTAGGTCTGCAGAAATACAGTCTCCTTTCCCAGTCTCAAGAAGGGCACTGGTAAATTAGGTAAGGACAATTACGGGGATGTCAACCATAATCCCAGAGCCTCGATAGATAAGGTCTCAATAGAAAAGCAATTTATACTGAAGATAATATCTCAGAACATTTTCTTGCCTCGAATGTGCTTGGATGCCCCAACACAAGAAAATCCCTCAATTTCTACAGTCCCTCTATTATCTTGGATGACTGCTGTGTTTATGACTTCTCCCCAGTTGCCATGTCAATGCTTTTCTATGCTTTGGAGTTGGGTGTTTGCATTCCTTTGGCCTTCATTTTATCTGCTACAATTATACTCTGTTTTGTCTTCATTTAGGGGCCAATCAGTGAGCAGAATTTCGAAGCATATGTAAATACACTCACAGACATGTACAGCAATCTGGAACGGGACTATTCCCCCGAATGCAAAGCTCTGCTGGAAAGTATCAAACAGGCAGTGAAGGGCATCCATGTGTAGGATGTGAAAGCTGCTGGGCAACAGAAATTACTTAACAGCAGTAAACTCCAGATGGATCTGTTAGGAGTTCATGTACTGCTAAGGGGTGTAGGTTGCCATGCTGCATTTACAATTGCAACATTGCACTAATTTTTTCCCAGCTGACATAAAAAAAGAATAAAAACACAACAGACTATTTGTATTAACAGCAATGCACTCTGTTAGTATATTATATTTATTTCAGTACAATTCTTTTTTTTTTCTTCTTTTGCACTCAGTTTTTGTAAAGTGAATGTAAAAAGTGTGTGTGACTATTTTTTATATTTTTTATTTATTTCTAATCAAAGAGTTTGGTTTTTTTTTTATCTTTTAACAGCATTTTTGCGGCCTGCCATATTTTTACAAATGTGTTTATTAATTTATTTTCCAATGGGATTTTAAATAGACTGAAAGTTATACTGTAAATTAAATAACTTGCTGGGTTTGTACAGGAAGAAAAAAAGCTATGAGTAACAAATGACGGAACTGTGGTTCTAGTTTTATTTTCCTCACATCCTGCTTTTTTATAATGGCTTTTTATCAAAAATGGGTTTGCAGTAACATGAGATGTGAAGATGCATGGACTGAGAAGATAAATGGTGCCCACTAGTGGGGAACTCGGGCTCTTAAAAGCACAGTATGCTGGAAAACAGTGTGTTAAAGAATACGTTAGCAATAATGAAATATAGCAATCAGCAAAGCACTTGACTTGGCTGTGTGATTTAGCCTATGCGAATGATTATTTAAAATGTTTCAAGAGAACTTCAGATTTATTTTACCACTGCAGTTTTTTTCAGAGTTAGCTTACAGAGGGAAATGACAATTATCTCTAAACAAGAACGATAATTTGATAGGACTGGTACTCTTTTAGTACGATATGTTGAGATTTTAATAAAGTGACCAGTATTGCTATGGATTTGGAACCGAAAAATGCAAACACATCCCAAGCACACAAGAATTTGTACATAATGAATCAAACACATCTCCCCTGAAATGGCATTCAATACTGGTTTGAACTTAACAGCAGTGAAGAAGGCAGCAGTCTGGAGGGGAATATTACTCCAACTCAGTGGTGTTGCCCTTCTCACTGAACGAACGGTAGCAACACAGTGATTGGTTTCTCCCATCCTTATTCACCAAGACTAGTCTGATACTGGGTCGGTTGCCAGTCCTTCAGTAGGGTACCAGGCACTACAGGACGTCCAGGCACAGGGGAGGGGACATGCAGCTGTTCAGAGCAGCTCATGTGTGCCCCCCTCGCTGGTTAGCCTGGGCTTGGAGTTTCTGAATCCGTCAGAAATTAGCGGTTGCTATAACCGAGGCAATGTCTATTTCAGGGATTGTAAGTAATTAAGCATTGTTTCAGAAGTTTTTTTTATATTTATTTTTTTTAAGAAAAAGGTATAAACAACCAGCTAAACTGCCTTTTTTGTATGCACACACACCTCATGTGCATATGTGCCTCAGTGTAAATGTATACATGGATCTAGCGTGCGTTTAATTTTTCCGTGCTATAATGAAAGTGTTTATTTTTATTAGCCTCATTTATATTTAGATTGAATATGATGGCATTCACAGGCTTGACATATACAATTATATTATTACTGTTCCTGCACAAAAGAACTATTCAGAAGTGAGTAAACTCTCATGCACTGTGGTCACTGTTCTGCATTAGGTGGAGCTTGCTTTTTTGTTTGAGAGTTGATTCAACTCTCCAATCCTAGTTTAGACAGGGGGAAATGTATGTTCTTAGGAGCTGTGTTTATTTTTAAATCAGTTTTTCAAAAGCTACCATACGTGCTGTCTAATATAAATAGGAAGACACCAAACAAAAATTTGCTATTAAAGTTACTGTACTCGCTGACAAAAAATCAAAAAGCGAACATTTGTTATACTTGTTAAATGCATACAAAATGAGTTCACTCATTACAAAGACTAAAATTTAATTTACTAAATATTTTAACAAATTTGTTATATATTTTATTTAAGTAAAAAAAAAAAAATCTCTTACCTATGTATTTATTATTATGATTTACTCTGGCTTCAGGTTAATTTATCTGTGTTTGGTTGTTTGCTCAGGATGTTCTGTGAAGTATGTTTGTATTTATTTGCCTCCCTTGTACTTGATGTGTTTTGTAATGTGCACTGATTTTTTTTTTCTTTTCATTTTTCTTTTTTTTTTTGTGCTTAAATGCATTTATGAGCTACACTGTAAATTGGATCTTTTGTAAAGAGCAATGATGTATGCATTTTTTAATTTGGAGTAGTTTGTATACTGTTTCTTCATACAATTAATATTTCTTACATCAAAGCAACGAAATTGTGTTCTGTGCTGTACATTTGGTGTATGGTAGGAAATAAAATTGATAATGAAACATTGCAGCAAGTTTGTTGGTTATTTTAGCCTCTAGATGCAGACTTGTATTACACATTCTTAACTGCACCTGGCACTATACAATGTGTCAGATGTTTTACTTGCTTTGTGTACAAAACGTGTCATCCCTGTAAGTAAATTTCTGGTATCAGTAATTTAATTAGTGTTTTACTTTGTCAATTTCAAGTAAGGAGAAAAGCAAACTGCTTAAGAGATCCTTTTCATTTTTGAAGGGAAAAAAGAAAAAAAATGAAAATAATCACTGCATGATTTATTGCATTCTTTTCTTGGCAGTTGTAGACATCATTTACACTGATAAAGTACAGGATTTGTGCTGACCTTTAACAGCTGCTAAATTATGTTTAAACATAAAAGCCATTGTAAAGTTTCCAGCAGTTTGGAACCACCCACGGTTCCAGTGCAATTTTCCCTGAGATGTGCAGTGTTTATACATTACAGAAATAAAAATCTAATGCTTTTAGAAAGGTGATACTTCCAGTATCTAATGGACTTTCTTTTTTTTGCACTGCTAGTTGTACTGAAAACAAGCTATTTTCATTTAGAATTCATGCTGATGGCTTCAGGAACATTTCTTGTCTCAGATTCCACTGATAAATCAAGAATAATTTTCTTCAGAAAATATGGCAAATTTTAAAGCTGATAAAGTAGCTGGTTTACAAATATTATGTATTTGAGTAGATGTTGCGAGACAAATCAAAATGGACTCTAGAAAAAATGACATGGTCAGCATTCAAATATACCAGATCAAGAATAATTGTTCTATAAATATGCCTATAACAGGCAGGCATGTGCTTACTTCATGTAAAATTTTTACTTCAGTAAAAATATATAAATGCCATTGGTTGAACTAATTGGAATGGCATTGAAGCTCCAAATATCCAGGAGAAGGAAGGGGAGTAAGTTCAATCAATATATGCTTGTCCTATCAGCTCCAGAGGTCTGTATCCTGTCCCTTAATTGCTCATAGCAAAAGTTTTTGAGACTATAGTGTCAAAATCAGATTCTGTTTTCTACTGCAATCATCTTTCCATTTACTAATTAAGCACCTCTTCTTTCCTGCTGGCTTATCGTATCTATCTAGTTACTTCAAGGCTTTTCCACTCAGAGATCCTTCATCCTATTCATATTGTACCTTTTTTTTTTTTTTTTTTTTTTTTTTAAATGAGTTTCAGATTTCCTTGATTGGAATTTGTGATCTTGCAATGATGCAGAGTCAGGACAAAAGGCACATCCTTCCTCTCTTCTTGGGCAATTTATTCTAACTTCCTCAGCATTTATCTCATAAAGTTTGCATTATGATTTGTGCAGCTGCATTTCTTGGATGTTTCTCGGAGATCTGCAGCTGACAAAGTCCTTTGTTCATGTCACTTGGGTTGCTGTGGGATGATAGATAAAGCTCCATGTAGCTACTGTGTAATGTAGGACAGTGACCCAGTTTCACTACCTTTCAGTATCTCATTCTGGCTTGGTTTTCTTCTGTCTCTTTTGCTCTAGTGAGTTTTAGACAGCCTAGCTCACACATAATTTCATAAAGGATTAGCCTGATTTTCTGTCTGACTTCATGGTACAAATTGCTGCAATTGCATTTTTGTTCATAACAAATGTTCCCACAGATATTGTCCAAGAATTTCTCAGGAATTTTCAGCTATGGGATAACACTTGCTATTTAAATTGCTATTTTTTCACTCTGAAAGTATTGCTGCATGAGATTTTTTCAAACTAGATCAGTGATTTTGTTGCCCAGCTTCAGATCTCTTTGAAGGGGCCACATTTTTAGAAGCTGGAGGCTCAGCTATTTTTGCTAAGCAGGGATTTTTCCAAATTCCCTTCTTATGGCCAATTCAGATTACACAGCATCCAAAAATTCTCAGCAGGTTTTTGTACCCATCCCTAGTATTGAAGAGTAAAACATCTTCTATGTTACACCAAGCCTAATTCTAATTCCTACCAAGCTCCTCTTTCAATGTCTGTACATAATATCTTTAAAATTCTGAAGGAAAGCAATAAGAAAAAACAAAGGACCAAATTTAATTCCTTATTTAACTGAAGATAGCATCTGTACAGACAGTTCCCTGTCAGTTGTTACTGAAGCTGGAACTACGGCTTAGAGTCCATGGCATGCAATCTTCTCTAATTACAATCATATGTACAATCACTGTGCAGTCCCTGATTATTTCTGACACAGTAGTCAAAATCTGGATTAGGAACCAGATTCTACATTCATTTCAAATTTGTTGGAATGAAATTCATGTGATCCTTTAGAAGCAGGAAGAATTTAGTTACTTCAGGAGTTAATTGCCCAGAACTGGGAAAGTTTTGGGCTTTTTTCATACTGATATCTGTTTATGCATGTTAAGGAAGGAAAGAAGGTTTTAAAAAGCTCATGAAAACCTACTGGAAAAATGTGTATAAATCAAATTCCTTCAGAGAAAAGCACAGCACTGTCTCCTCAGGCTGAAGAGCCCAGCTCTTTGCACGGAAGTGCTGCTTGGGGGATTTCAGTGCCGACTGCTGCGAGTGAAAGTCCTGTGCATTCAGCAGTCCAATGAGGAAACGGCAGCTTGGGAAGCTATCCCTCAGGCTCAGCCTTTTGAGTAATATGGGCTGTGTTAGATGAAAGATATCTGCAACACCACACTGTATATCAAATGTCTCGATTGCAGTAATTATAAATTACTAATCTGGTGGTTTTTCAGGATGCTGAATGGTACCAGTGAAGTCATTCA